TCGACGCTCAGCCTCAGCACGAGCGGGACCCGAACCGCGAGGGGAACGCGCCACGGGAGCTTTATTAAAAAACTCCCTTCTACTACGCAGCACTTTGCGGGAGAGAGCGTCACAGTGCCCACAGTCAGCATTCTCAAATGCTGCCAGGGCATGCTCCTCTCCCAAACACTCTAAACACATATCATGTGAGTCACCAGCCGTAATAAAGCGAGGGCATGGAGGCACACAACGTTTAAAGTTTTTTTCTGCCATATCAAAACAAAAAAGTAAGTTGTCAGTTTTTTTGTTTTTGTGTATGCAAGTCAGTAATGAAAGTTCGCTGAAAGAGGGTGTATTTTCACGTGCGTGCTTCTTGAAAGCAAAGAAGTTGATACTGAATGCTCAGTACAGGCTTTTATACTCTCTGGTCTGACGACACCTGCTTAATTACATTAGATTGATTTCACATGTGCTTCAAGACGCGTATAAAAGAGGTGTTCCCCTAGCGTTCTGGTTAGACGCAGTGTTGAAGTTCCCTAGAAGGGGAACACATTTTAAAAGCAGAATATCTGTCTTCAGCATGTTTTTCAGATAAACAAGTATGTTCACTTGGCATGTTTCTTAAATATCTGCAAACATATTATGGTATTTTTATGCTTTAGAAGAGTCAAAAACTTGCATACGGCACCTAAAGTTAACACATTGCTACTGTGTTGTCTAAATATTTCTACACACTTTAATGTTTTTATGTTTTTGTTTTTTGTTTTTTTGTGGCCCAAAATGAAAAGATTTAAATTTAAATTTTGGAGGAAATGCCATCAGTAATTTACAGGAAAAAACTAAAATGAAGTTTTACTCAGACGCATAACTATAGAGGAATTGCCAATCTACGTCACACATGACATCATTTCTGTTGGCTCCCGGTTGCAAAAAGAGACCAGTTGGAATAGAAAACATGTCGTGTTGTGTGGTAGGATGGCAAATTTGAAAAAATATACAACTTAACTTTTACCGTACACCACACTGCTTTTAATGCCAACCGCAGACGATTTTGGCTAAAAGGGAGCTGAATGAAGTGACAGCCTAATTAAAAATACTCGACTCTGCAGTTCTCATTTCATATCAGGTAAGTTTATGCCATCCTGAATCATTCACATCACTGGTTTTTGATTGCTGCAATGATTTCAGCAAAAACAGCTAAATATGGTTGATTAAACTGCGGACACTGAATGCTAAGAATGAAATGCAAAAGTGTAAGTTCACATAGCCTGCCGTACAGGTGTAGTTCGCTGTCAGAATGCAGTTGTTTTGCTTGTTGATGATTAGATAGGCTTTGTATAGCTCCGTCTTTATTTCCTTGTCTTTGGCTGGCAGAACCTCGGCTTTTAGCACTACATCGTTTTGAATCTGGTAATCATGGAACATTATTTCTTGCACATGAACACACAGAACAAAACTGTTGGTTTTAAAGACTTGTAGGCCTTTAACTCCTCTCTTGTAAAAACATTTTGAGCTTCAATGAGATTGTGTATTTTGGGCTGGATGCTTGGCCATTTCGTCTTATCCAAAATTCATTGGGAGGGTGTTATCACAAATGGACCTGTCATCCGAACGTAACGTTAATGTTAATTTTGCAGAATCACTGTGCTTTAATACTGAGTGACAAGCTGTTATAATATGCTGGAAGTATTATGTAAATAGTATATATGATATGTAATCAATATAACTTATTTCTAAGACAGCAACAAACTCTGTACCACATCAGATGCCAATCCCTCGCTGTAAATGCTTTCGCTTCCGGTTTATTCTGCAACCTCACTGCATGCGCATCTTGAATGTTTACAAACATGGTTATTCGTCTATAAATTAGAAATGTACTAACAGTATGCTATTTGTTTACAAATAAATGAAAGGACGTGCACTGCAAAAAAATGTGTTTCTTACTTGGATTTTTTTGTTATGTTTCTAGTCTAAATATCTAAAATGATACTTAAATAAAAAACTTGTTTAAAAAGCTTTTAAGGAAAAACTTACTTAATTTCGGCATATTATTTCTTCTAGAAAATACTTCTTGGTTTAAGATTTTGTAGATATTTGGACTAGAAACAAGACAAAAAAACTCTTAAGTAAGAAAAGCCTTTTTACAGAATGAATTTTTTTATCAAAATTTTTTATCAAAATAGTTAATTAATTATTTAATTTTTTATCAAAATAGTTCTTGCATTCTGACTGTGTCAGCCTTTTTTAAGTAGCAAACAGTTTCAGCTCCCATGTGAGTCTGTGTTTGTGCATCACCAACCACCATGGTTTAACTAAAAATCTTTTTTCATGCTTTTCAACTCACTTGTTCTAAACAATGAAGAACATTTTTGTTAACTGGTACTAAGTAATCCCTTCTGCAGTGAATAAAATAAGTGAACTATTTTTATTAAAATGCATGGTTAACTATTGTGTGACTGCCACATTATTCAGCACTTATACTTAATTTAATTTTGAGAACTATTGTTGGACCCAGTTGGGACAAGATGTACTAGTACATTTGGTAATGTCATATAGCTTGCACATTAGCTCCATAGCTGCATCGTAGTCATTTATTGAAAGCACCTCATTTTACTATCATTAAAATGATTATAAAAAAAGAAGCTACTGAGTGGTTGACGTCATATTACGTTGAACATCATCTCATTATTTATGGCGAGTATTGTTTAAGCGCGTAACACTTTATCCCATTAATTTTTCCCTCTTGCGATGACTCATTTGTGAATCATCAGCATTTAGGCCAGGGAACCTGTTCCTATTAATAGAGCCTCTAGTCAAGCCAGCGAGAGCACAAGAGAAATGTTCCCTGGCTGCTGTTTCCTCTGTCCTTGTGATTCACTTAAGATCCACTCTGAAAAGAGCGTATCAAAGTCCTGCGCTATTATGAGGGGAGATGGGTCCATTTTGATGGCTGTTGAAGCAGCATCTGTTAAAGGCAGTAGGTGAGTGCAAATAGAAAATTACCTGGTGAACTCAAACCTCCCCCTCTCTGCCAGTCTGAGGCCATTTTAAGAAACGGGTGCCTTTTCCAGTTTGAGATCACTAGTAAATATTTAGAAGATTTGAAGTGCTGTGAGCGCATAAGTGCTGTGCTACGTATAAGTGCTGTGTTTTAAAATGTTTTTAGATGTTTGCATTATTGCTAGTTTTTAGGATATTTATAAGCTAGTGTGCTCCAAAACAGTGATAAGGTTCACGTTTAAAAGATAAAAAACTAATTTAAACATGTAAAGCTTGTAGTTTGGCACTTCCGCCTACATTGTTCAACAGTTTTATTCACATCACCTCATACTTCAGCTTCAAATTAACCCTTTAAAAAAACCCTTAAAGACGCTTCACATTTGCTTTTAATGTGATGCACTTGATCTCAACCACTCTCACCTGCAGAGTTGTGATAAAGCAAAACGTTATTGGCTGTTTTTTTAAGGGGAGGAGCTACTCTGTCCCACACTCCCTTCATGTTTTGGTTAAGATTACATCAAACATCAAATTTAAAAATCTATCTACAGTGCTTCCCACACATAGACTTTACTTGGGTGGACCGCCCAGGTATATTAACGGCCGCTCAAGTATAATTAGTGACACACACACACACACACGTGTATATATATATACACTTTTTGTGTTCGCCCAATGTAAACAAACATCCGCAAGCGATTAAGTTGTAGAAAATCTTCTCTCATTTACCTGTTTCATACTACTCGTTCTGTGTGCACAAGACAGATAGTCTCACGTGCCCTGCAGACCCACAGAGACCCGCAACTTTTTGCATCCAGCCGGGGATTGCAGATCTACTAAAATGTCTGGGATTTGGTTCTGCTTTCGTTTTCTAAGCTGTCGTTATTTTTATGCGCACGAGATATTAAATAATTAATTATTTAATCTTAACAACTCAAAAAAACTTTGCTGAATACTCAGAGAGGACTAAAATACATCTAAATTGGCTGCAGAATATATATACACCATTAGAAATGGGTAATCAACTCATTTGTTAAAAAATCAGGTTTTATTGCTGTAATAATTATAATTTTTAGAGATATTGTCTGGTTTTATTCCTTTTTTCTGTCATTTATTTCTCATTTGCTGTATATTTGATTAATTTAATGATGGCAATATATCGTCACCTTGGAATTATAAGGTTCTATCTGCGTTCTGAATGATTTTGAGATAAAGTTTTTGTATTCCATAGCAGACAGTGTGTGTGTAACATTTGTTTTTTAAATAAAAAGTCTTAAAATCTAAACAACTTATAAAAATCTCATAATGTACATAAGATGTCATTTAATAAGAATATGTCAATAACTCAATTTTGACAAAAATGTCAAATAGACCCTTATAATAAGGTGACGATATTACATTTCTTATACATCTAAAATGCTTTAATAGTGTTTATAAGAGAAATATAGCATAAAAGAGAAATAATGGATGTTTTTTATTTATTTCAATAGTCTTTTTTTAAGCTGTGACCCATTGAAAAGAAAAAAGTAAATCTATCATCCATCCATCCACCTATCTATCTATTTATCCATCTATCCATACATTCCTCCATCCTGTCTGCAGGTGTGGGGCTTTCAAATGGACTACTTTTTGTCAAATGATGAAGGTGACACCAAAAATGATGTGCTGCTTTCTCACAAGAGAATCATTAGATCAGCCACAGTAGCATCAGATTTCACCATGTTTCAAAAGAGCAGTCATATTTGCTTTACGGTAAAGCACTGTAGCTTTCACATTAAAAAATGAGCAAGAATACTTCATTCTGTCCTACAGTTGCTCTTTGAGAGACATGCAGATGTAGCTTCAATTAGCTGCATATGTAAATGTAAGCAACAGCTGGGCGTGTCAGCTATTTATGATGTGCACATTTGCCATATATCAGGTGAATGCATCTATTGCTTTGTGATTGTTTGTGAAAAGAGAAATGCATAACATCTGCTTAAGTGTTGTGGATGTACATTAACTGTATTTTTATTCCTCTTCAGCGCATACATCAACAAAGCCAACAACTCATCAGAGCAGATCACTCTCATAGACACCGCACTACATTCCCCAGAAGGCTTAGCGATGGACTGGGTTCATAAGAACATCTACTGGACGGACTCTGGACACAAAACCATCTCTGTTGCTAATGTCGATGGCAAGAAGAGGAAGGTGTTGATTGATACCGAGCTCGGAGAACCACGTGCTATTGCTGTAGACCCACGACAAGGGTAACAATATCAAGTTTAATGTAAAAACTTTGAATACCATTTGAAAATGTGCATGATGTCAATCAAGTAAACAAATGTGGATGTTTTTAGCAGGCTAAAAACAAACACTACTTAAATAATCTGTTCTGCTGCTTTAAATAGTAGTAAAAAATGTAAATATGATGTATGGCGTATGATATATGATGGCTCGCCAAGATTTTTGAAAACCTTGTCAAAGGTTTACTTCATATAATTTTTCCCTTTTCCTTCATGGTGAAGAATCTTTCCCCTCAGGGCTCTTTTCACCGTATTACTGAAGTAGAAGAGCATGAAAAACATGCAAATGAGGCTCAGGCTGGTCGGCATACCTAATTGTTGCCTGTGGGTAAAGTAGCCGCTTCACTCTTATCAGGCCAGAGTGAAATACTGAATCTTTTAATGATGATTCCCTTACTGTACCTATTCATCTTGATTTTTGACGGATGATGGACACCAAAAGTCTCAAGGCCATTGGAGTGTCCTAATTTCCCGCTTAACTCGATCTCATTTGTTTGATAACATGAATGTTTTGTGGCACTAGACCAGTAAAATTCCTAAACTTTTTTTGCATCTTCATTTATTGAATATGTTTGCTGATTTAAATATGCTCAGATGCCAGTAAAATTGTTAAACATCAGTTTTACACATTTTATCATGTTCAGATCTATTGCACAGTAGCCTATTTAACACAGTTTCCCTGTCTGCTTTGATTTTTATTTCCTCAGCATCTCTTAGTTCATCATCATTCCATGATTCATTCATTCCATCCATCCACCCATCCATCCATCCACCAACCCACCCACCCTTCTATCATTCCATCTATCTATCTATCTATCTATCTATCTATCTATCTATCTATCTATCTATCTATCTATCTATCTATCTATCTATCTATCTATCTATCTATCTGTCTGTCTGTCTGTCTGTCTGTCTGTCTGTCTGTCTGTCTGTCTGTCTGTCTGTCTGTCTGTCTGTCTGTCTGTTTGTCTGTTTGTCTGTCTGTCAGAATCTTTTAATGTTTGGTCTGCCTCTGAGTTCTTCTGCTTGCTTTCCGGATGCACTGTATCCATCCATCCATCTATCCATCCATCTATCCATCCATCCATCCATCCATCCATCCATCCATCCATCCATCCATACTTCCATCCATCAGAATCTCCTAATGTTTGGTCTGCCTCTGATTTCTTCTGGTTACTTTCCAGATGCACTGTATCCATCCATCTATCCATATGTCTATCTATCAGAATTTTCTAATGTTTGGTCTGCCTCTGAGTTCTTCTGGTTAGCCCACTACTTTGGAAAGAACACTGATATGCGGTGGTGCATGTAAAAATCTGAAATTATTTTAACTCAATGTGGTGTCTTAAAAATGTGCGCTCATGTGCGAGGCACTGCAAAAGATGTTAGATGCGAGCATTACAGTACATTGTAAAACAATGGAAAAGTAGCACATTAAAATGTAAACGTGGGATCTGTTTGAGTGGCCCCTTAGAACGTTACACTGTTTTCATTTTAGTTTCAATGGCAGCGCATTAATCTACAATTAAGAAGAATGGCTGATTCTGGCTGTATTTTTTATATACTTACCCTTAATTTTTATCCATTAAATTCCAAATAACTGGAAAAGTATAAAGCACCTTCAAACAGTGTGATCGATAGTGAGGAGCCTTATATTCACAAAGCTTAAAAACCACCCGTCTAGATTTACAGATTCTGATCATGTAACTCTTGTATTGCAGGTTCATGTACTGGTCAGATTGGGGAGCGCAGGCCAAGATTGAGAAAGCCGGGATGAATGGAGTGGATCGGCAAGTTCTGGTTTCAGAGAGAATCGAATGGCCCAATGGGATTGCACTTGGTAAAACATCATTTCAGTGTTTTGCAATTCAGGTTCTCATTCCTAACAAATTAATTCACATCATCAAAATAGTCAAAGTACAAAAACACACACTGGAGAATAGCAAAAACAAGACAACACCAGATAAAAGAGAAGCAGCAAAAAGCAAAACAAAGCATATCATAACGAAATGAAGACACGAGAGAGCTGCATTTGCCATCATTACGACAGACAAAGACATCAACCAAAATGCTGGAGGAGAAAAAGAGAAAACATTAGGGTTGAGAAAGACCAAACAAACGCAGAAAGAGTGTTAATAATGAAGAGCAGCCTCCTGTGGCCAACAGGGCTTTGAATCATTCACCTTCATTGTTTCTCATCAATCATCCGTCAGTTTGCGAAAAACTAAATGGAATTGCTCAAGCAGCGCTGTCAATATCGCCATCATTTCTCTGGCTCACTTAACATGAAAGCTATTTGAAAAAGCAGTTATAGTAGAGGGATAGAAAAAAAGTTATTGACAAAAATGGCAGATTTGAGAATTGCTAAATCTGCTTAGAAACAAAATACTTTTTAATGGGAGAAAAGCTGAGAATTTTTGAGGTGTATTTGTTTTGTTTTTTGTCCTTGATTGTGCTTTCATTTGTGTCTACATTTCATTTTAGACTTCCTTGATTTTTTGTTGAATCATAAAATATGAGGGTTGCAGACAAAATGGGGGGTTTAAGCATCAAAACTATAAAAAAAAGATCTTTGATCGAGTTTTTTTCATGCATTAACTTGTTCTGTTTGAGATCAAATCAAGTAGAACGTCAGTTTAACTACATATAAAATACCACTTTTTATCACATCAAATAAACTTTTCATATATTTTAAAAGAATAATTTATGAAACATTAACCTGTTAGCCAGCACTCACTTTTGAGGATTTACACCTACCTAACTTTAAATAGTAATAGTTCTTGACCCCAGTAAGCTACAAACACAAATTATGTATCATTGGAAAGACCGCACTTTCAGCTTTACTATGGTCTATCTACAAAGTTCTACGCTAAAGAATATGAAAAGTTATGACTTCATACATTATTATTAATTGTACTATGTTCAATTTTTTTCATATCGAAACACAGAAAAACATTAATTTATGAAAAAAAATATGCCTTGAAAGCCAAGGCTGCGTCCGAAACCGCCAACTACTCAGTAGGTACTGCATTTGAATTTAAACGTACTACTCGGCCGTTAGAAAAGTACGTTCTATACAGTATGAATGTAAAAAGTATTAATGGAATTCGGACGTACTACATCCGCCATTTTGTCATGGTCATGTGACCTACCTGCGTCGGTTGCGTTGCCTCACTTCCATTCATGATTTCGCTCACGGGGCATTATGGGATAGCGCAGCGTGCATGGGATGCGCACTTTAGAATCTCGCCGGAAGTAGTAAGTCATCCGGGTACTTCTCACCTACTGATTTTCGAATTCTATGAATTCGGACATACTACTCGGCTCGCATACTGATTTTAGCGTACTATATAGTATGGAAGTATGCGGTTTCGGACGCAGCCCAAGTGTCTCATGAGTTTATATTTCAAATTTGATTACGTTTTCTGACACTATATCGGTGTCCTTCTTTCCCTCACTGTCAGAGGCACTTTCTCAAAAATGACCTTGCCAAACTAAAGCAGCAACAGTACTGAATAATTTGGTCTGCAGTACTTTCACAGTTCATAAATCTTTGGAAAGAAGTCACTTTAGTCACTATTCATCATCTAGAATTTTTAATGCTCAAAACGAAAAAAGTTATGGATGATTAAGTAATGAAAAAGAATTGCACCGCACTAAACAATTTATTATTTCATAAACAAATATATGAAATTAGTCCTGAAGCTATACAGAAAAGTAATAGGTCAAAAGCCACACATCTCTTCTGGGTATATGTTTGAATATTTGAATTTGATGGCAATATCATGCAAAATAAAATTTCTGGAATTGTTTTTCTGAGAGAGTGTCTTGTGAACTCTATTTAGGGGTCACACTTCAGCCCTAAAAATACTAATCTTTAAACTTTGCCAGTATCTTTAAAAGGATTGTTCACCCACAAATCTAAATTTACTCATTATTTACTCACAGTCAAGTGTTTTTATTGAATACAAAATAAAATTTTGTGAAGAAATCCAAAAATCGCAAACCATTGACTTTCATAGTAGGTAAGTTTTTAAAATTCATTTATACTAAGGAAGTCAATGGTTACATGTTGTAGTTTTTTTAAATACCTTATTTGTATTCACAGAAGAATGAAACTCAAACAGCTTTGGAACGAGTGAAGGGAGAGTAAATGATGACAGAATTTTCATTTTTCACTTTAAATCATTAGGTTTTAACCATTTGTAAGCTATTTCGTTAATCATTAAAATTATAATTAAGTGACACAGTGGCTTAATATTGGCATTGTCGTCTCACAGCAATGAGGTCCCTGGTTCGAGTCCTGGCTGGGCCAGTAGGCATTTATGTGTGGAGTTTGCACGTTTGCAGTTCAAAGACATACTGAATAGGTTAATTGAATGAAATAAGTTGTCCATAGTGTATGAATGTGTGTGAATGAAGTGTGTGGGTATTTCCCAGTTCTGGGTTGCTGCTGGAAGGGCATTCACTTTGTAAAACATATGCTAGAATAAATGGTTAGTTTATTCCCCTGTAGGGACTAAGCCAAAGAAGAATGAATATATGAATGAATATAATTTAATAAAATAACATATTCTTTTGAGTGTTTTTTTTTTAGTCATTTAAGTATGAATACGATGTTTAATTTTGATATAAATATATCTGACAAGTACATTTAATTTGAAACAGACAGCGAAATGTGGCCATATTTTGACACATGAACTGAAATATGTATAATCCCATGACGTGCTACATTTACTTTGACCGCTTATGTTAAATTCAAAGCGTTTGTTGTATTATTGATTGCTACATTTATGTGTTTCCTTAAAATCTCTTTCCTCCAGATCTGTCAAGCAGTCGACTCTATTGGGTGGATTCAAAGCTGCATCTGATCTCCAGCGTGGACCTGAATGGAGACAACCGAAGAATTTTGCTGTCTTCCATGGATCAACTGGGACATCCCTTCGCTCTTACTCTTTTCGAGGCAAGCAAATCTATGAAATGACATGCTCACATTATTGTGCACAGATGGGGCTGCACTGGCACAAGCAGTCCTTGAGATGTTTTTAGATTCAGTTTGGCTTCGTGATGCACACATGAACACATTTTTGCTTAGAGGGTGTAGTTGGAGAAGCAGTACATCTCACTGTGAGACTGCAACACTGGCCAAGAGATGTACGGCTGTGGGTGGCTGGCACCAGTTAAAGACACAATCCAAATTAAAAAGCCTTTTTACTTTGGCAGCTTCTAGGGCACCTAAAGGCAGGACCTGGCCTGAGCAATAGATCTCCTAATGCCCTTCATCAGGCCAGTCGATGAGCTCAGTAAAAGGGCACCCTGGGGCTGAGCCTGAGAAAAAGGAAACAATGCATTTTCTTCAGCCTTTGACTTTTGTCCAGGGTAGATGAAAAATGAAACTCTGCATTACTGCAGTACTTTTGAGGCTGGTTCTGAACTCTTACAGTTCTCCACTTGGCTGCTGAAAGCACAGAAATCGCCCCTCCAACTTTTTGGTGGCATTGCTAAAAGAGCAAAGAAATATTTCTAGAGTACAGTGCTAGGTGCCAGAGTCAATTCCAGTAGGCTCATTATTTCGGTTCATTATTTTTAATTGCACAATCTTATTCATTTCATCTCAATTTACATTTGTTTCTGTTCTTTGCCTATTTTGTTGTCTTCAAATACACATTTGCTTTTGGTGGTCGGCAACTTAAAAGTGAACTTAAAACGTTGAGAAATAAAAACTGATATTACTGAATAGGATGTTTTTTTTTTATGTAAAAATTAGGGATGCACCGATATGGATTTTTTGGGTTATATTGATAACCTATAACTCTTCCGCCGATAGCGGATATATATATAAATATATATATATATATATATATATATATATATATATATATATATATATATATATATATATATATATATATATATATATATATATATATAAAATGATATATTTTTATAAAGCAAACTTCATAAACGATTGAACTGCTCTTCTGAACTGAAAGGTCTATACTCAAAGCAAAAAAGCTATAATTTCAAAATTGCAAGGTGATTATATAGACCTATATTCACGATTTCACATAAATCAGCCTGCAAAAAATCAATTATATCCTTTTCTTTATAGTAAATTAACATGCAGCTTGACTATTGCATAAAAATAATAGGTTAAATAACAAAATGGGATTAAATCAACAAGCAAGTTAAATAAAAGGAAAATGAATGAGCTAAGGACTGAAACCAGCTCAAATGTTCTTGAGTAAAATGTGTTACAGTGATGTACACATGTACAAATATTTCATGTCCGAAAAAGCCTTTTTTAAAGGTGTTTTGACAGTTCAGAGCCACCGTACAAACGAAAAGCTGAATACAGATTATTACTTAAGAAAATGCAGCATAGATTCATCCTATTTGGCGTTTTAGATTCTTTTGAACACATGTAGCTGTTGCTTGTCAATCAGACAATGCTTCTGTGTTTGTTCTTGCTGTCAATTGCAGGAAAAATGATTAATGAAAAGTTTATGATAAACCACTGTGAGTTTCCCTCAACTGCGGGCACAGATTTGCCCTCAGAGTCAGATTTTGACACAACGCCTGATCATTGAGCACAGATGACTTTATGACAAACACAGAGCATAATATAAAGATAGAATGTGCAGGGAGTTGAGAGCCCCTATGCTGGATTCAATGACTGGCGCACCTCTCCCCCATGCTGCTGTGAAGGCTGTCAGGTCAGTGTGTGTGCGGTGACAGCCCTCAAGCGCGCTCGTTACAATCAATATGAATATTCCGATCAAACTGAATACAATCTTACATCAACAACACATGGCAAGCAACGCGTTGATATTTACAAATAATCATATTAGATTACAAACAACCCAAATACTTGTTTAGCATGTGTGTATCGCTGCTGTTGTTTACACATGTAATATTTTTTCCTGAGGCAATTTAAAGCAAAATACACAACGGCACTTGTTTTATTATATCTACAATTATATCTACAATTATGAGGAACATGGTTACTTACTGCGTTATTAACACAAAGCAATACCACATGAAGAAAGGACGGACTTTGAAGGAATAAACAATGTGACTGTGAGGAGAGATCCAATTAAGGCACTGGACAACTCTGAACAAGTATCACCCACGCATACAATACATACGCGTACAATTATGCAACTTATCGGCTTAAAGGTATCGGCCTAATTCAGACATCAGATCTATAACGATAATCTTAAAAATCACATTTATCGGCCAATAATGATATGGCCACCGATATATCGTGCATCCCTAGTAAAAATGTAAAAATAATGTGTGTATTTAGCGCATTTATTGTGTATGACCATACACCCAAAGCGCTTTACAATCATGGTGTGAGGGGGGGGGGGGGGGGGGTGATGTCAAAGGACAACGACGCCAATGCGCTCACCATACACCAGCTATTGGTGGAGTGGAGAACAAGTGATAGAGTCAGTTTGGTTGATGGGGATGATTGGGAGGCAATGATGGGTAAGGGCCGTTGGATGGAATTTGGCTAGGACCCTGGAGCTCCAACCCTACTCTTTACGAGAAGTGCCATGGGATTTTTAATGATCACATAGAGTCAGAACCTCAGTGTAATGTCTTATCCGAAAGACTGACAGTATAGTGTCCCCTTCACTTTAGTGGGACTCAAAAGGTGTGTCCCAAATCGCATACTTATGCACTATTCTACACCATTTTGTAGTATATATAATGTAAGTAGTGTGTTAACACTGAAAACTCAAAAAATTTTAAGTGCATTTTACCCGGATGATGCACTTATTTAACCCTTAAAATGAAGTGTGGAATGTTGGACTCTTCACACACTCAACGACCACAGCTTTGCTCATGAAGCGGAATGAGTGGAGCTTTCAGGTGCACTTGTTGGATTACTTTATTTACTTTGTATTATGAAAGCAAAATTCTCCTTTAAGAGTGATTATAGCACCTCCCGATGGTGTGGTGAATGCGTTAAAACTCATGGCAGTTATTTTTAGTTAATTTGGTCTTTTATTACGCTAACTTGGCCACTGTCAAATGTTATCAGGGAAATGGTTTGAATTTCTGCTTAGTAAAAAAACATTAGTGTTTTTCCATTTGGTTCAACACTACATTCATATATGATGCTGTTAAGTGTGTAGGTGCATAAGTACATTGTACATAAGTGCATAGTGTAGAGTGAGCCATTTGGGACGTAGCTAAACAGACCGCAGGTTGAGTGCCCCCTACTGGCCTCACTAACACCACTTCCACTAGCAACCTAGGTTTTTTTAGGATTAATAATTTTTTGCTTCTTTGTGTCATATTTTTGGCTAACCTATATGGCATTCATTTTGTGAAATGATCATTATTATATGCTATATATGTATATATTCATTTTTTGTGAAATGATCAGTATAATATTTTCTGTGGACACAGAGTTTGAATTTTAGATTATAATAATTTACTGAATAATGTTTTATATATATATATATATATATATATATATATATATATATATATATATATATATATATATATATATATATTATATTATATTATTACTATATTCTGTCTAATACTTTGTTAAAGTAAGAAATGGGTCCCACTTTATATTTAGTGGCCTTAACTAATATGTACTTACACAAGAATTAATAGTTTGTTACAGTGTGCTTATTGTGTAAATACATGTATTTACTGTGTACTTATGCTTGAACAAATACCTGTATGTAACTACACCTGTAATTAACTTCTGTAGTTACATTTGTAAATACACTCCCTTACACCTTAACCCACCCTTAAACCTACCCATACCACCAAACCTGTTCATAACCCAACCCCTATCTCAACTTAAGAGCACCACAAGTGTACTCAAATACACTTTGAACACAGTAAGTACATTGTATTTATTTTTTGATAAAATTGCATAGTAGTTAAGGACACTTAATATAAAGTGGGACCAAGAAATGTAATGCTTTTGCTCAGCAAATATTAAAATTGACAGTTGTTTTATTTAGAACTTTGTATTTCACATAGGAACCTCAAACAAATGTATTCAGCTTTCCAAAAAGTAATGTTTATTTATTTTTAAATCTTGCAGACTACTAACATTTAACATCTAGTACAAACATTTGCTACAAGGCTGTTTGAAAAGTATGTTATATAAGCAGTGTGAATGTAACTCAGACGTACTATATCTGCCATTTTGTCATCATCACGTGACCTACCCATGTCAGTCCCATTCATGAATTCTTTCATAGTGCATCATGGGATAGCGTAGCATCCATTCGGTGCGCATTTCAGAATCTCGCCAAAAGTAGTAGGTCATACTGATGTTCAAATTCCAATCTATACTACTTGGCTTGCATACTGTTTTTAGCATACTATATAGTATGAAAGTATGCGATTTTGGACAAAGTCTGAGTTTGTAGGCTTTTTCTTGTCATTCATTTATTCAAATATTAGTATTTAAAATATACTTTTTTTAAACATGAATGATTAATTATTATTTGGTAGCAATGTCTTAGTTAAACAATGGAGTTGCGTGTCACATATTATCTCTTAACACACCAGATCTCAAATTACATCTAAGAAATGTGCTTGATTTTCCAGTCACCTTATCAGACATTATATGACCTTTACAATGCCCTGTCTTATAAAACACACCAATATCTCCACACCAGTTTCACATTATTTCACTGGCTAGTGGGCAGCAGTGAAAATGTCAAGACCGATCAAATCCCACAGGGAGAGTCGCTCCTTTTCCAAATGAAGCCAAGAATATGATGAAGGGTTTTAATAAAGAGCCCCCCCCCCTCTCTCTCAAGGAGTACAAATTTCAGACATGGATGTTCAAAGCTTTGTGTGTCATGGATTTAAGCAGTTATCTTGATCAGATATCATGGTCCGTGTGTTTGATGAGAGCTGCAATGCGGCAGAGTTTGAATGCAGTGTAGTGCAGGTTAAGGAGTCCTACTGATCAGAGCTCTGCTGGGATCCAGAAGCCTGACCTTTCCAAAGAAAAAAAAAAAAAAAAAACAAAGCTCTGTAAACATTTTCCAATACTTGTAGCAGATGCACACATGAGCGTGCTCGGTTTACTCCAGATTTTTCACTTAGTAGTTTTAATACAGCATTGTAAAAGTTCATACTGGCCTTTTTACTACATTTTAGAAAGGGACTGAAAATGTACAACAGAAGCTAAATGTAACGAGGAGACTGACACGGAGGGATCCATCATGCAGTATTTATTGCTCAAGCACTTATTCACACACACAATATGCACTAACGTGCAAACACACAACAACAACAGTCTATGATGAATAAAGACTGGCGATGAATAGACACAGGGAGTATTACCAGGCATAGATCGAGGGCAGGCTGCTAGTATCAGAGTCCGTGAACCAGGCGTGGGTCGTGGGCAGGTAGCGAACATCAGAGTCCGTATAACAGGCGTGGTTCGTGGGCAGGCAGCGAGTATCAGAGTCCGTATACAAGGCGTGGGTCGTGGGCAGGCAGAAGGCGAAGCAGAGTCAAAAAACAGGCTGGAGTAATACACAAGGAGTCAGGCAGGAATACCGCTCAGAAATGCTGGCCGGGGCTAAACAAGACTTTGCACTGAATGAGCGTTTGGTGCTGGCTTATAAAGGGTACGTGGGTCATTAGCGGGATTCAGTTCAGGTGTGCATGATCAGGGTAAATGGATGATGTAATGCTTAGAAGTCCGGAGATGGTGGCCTCTGCTGGCCAGCGAGGGGAATGACTGGGACCGAGTCGGTGACACTAAAAGTAGCTGTAAAATAATAGTACTTAATTGTTACCTATGTACAAATAGAACACCTCACAATGGTATCTGTGTTGAGAGAAAAAAAAGATGGCAAATTCTTTTAAATGTATTCAGAACAAAACAAGGTAAAACAATATAAAATGTAAGTAACTATATAATTATACAAAAAAGTGTACAAAATTTAATCTAACAGTTAGCTTTTAGCTAACTCTACTTGCGCCAAGAAAACAACATGTGATGTATATACTGATATACTGTATATCCCCAAGTTTGCATTTGCCCTTTGGCTGACCAAAAGTTGCATGCTTGATTTCAGGTGACAGGAGGCAGATCTGGGAGTCTCAGCAGCAGAATTCAACCATAGTTAAAAGTTATTCTACCACTAAAATAATTTTAGAAACAGTATTTAAGTTCAAAAACATACATAGGACTGCATTCAAATGAGAACACACTTGTGCAAATATAGCCTGTGTCCTCCTCCTCCATCTTCCTCCTCCATTTCCGTATCTGTCTGAAAAGGAGATGCATCTCTGGCTGTCATTGTGGCAGCTCATCTCACCATGCACATGTGCAATATTTCTGTAGTGGCTGATAAGGGCTGATCAGAGGAGTAGTAAAGAGAAGCCCAGCCTGCGCTTTCAGGCTCATGTAGGTGTAGATGGAGAACAGAGATGTGCTGTGAGCTTTAATTAGTCTGATGAAAAACCTTTGTGGTCTAAAAGAAGCAGGAGCGTTTATCTTCATTTTCATCTTCCTCGCTTTCTCTCGAGTATTTTGGTGCATTGCATCATGCAGAAATAAATACATGACCTTCAAAATGACAAGCTTTTGATTTATACTATCCAAGTGTCATTTGAGTTCTGTGCGTCGGTATTGGGAAATAACCTTTCACAAGAAAATATTCATGCGCAGTGACAGTATTTATATTCAGGAGTGTCATGCAATTATATAGGACCTTCCTTGGGGAAAACACCACAAAAGCTACAGTTACAATCAGCTTAAATATATTGTTAAAATAAAATATTTCTGTTTACAATCAATACAGTACTTTTGAACTTTCAATTCATCAAATAATCTTGAAAAGAAATAATATATGTAAAATGTTTACTTTATATATGATTCAAATCAAATGTATGAAAATTAAATGTGAAAATACTTTTGTAATAATCTTCAATTAGGCACGATAGATGTATTTATTTCAAAAAATTATACAAATATTGAGTGTCTTTTAATTTCATGAAATGATTTTACTTCTGAATAGGTTGGATGAGATTACTTGGTGAACTATTACAACACGGATATTTATTCTAAGAGTGAATGAAAATGCAAATGTTCCTGCAGGACCGGGTTTACTGGACAGACTTGGAATATGAGGCCATCTACAGTGTAAACCGCCTGACAGGAAATGATGTGGTGATGCTGGCTCAACATCTCAACAACCCATTGGACGTGGTGGTGTTTCATGAGCTCCGGCAGCCTAAAGGTGAGAAATAAGCTTAATTAAAGGCTGTGTCCGAAACCGCCTACTACTCAGTAGGTACTGCATTTGAATGTAAACGTATGAATGGAATTCGGACGTACTACATCCGCCATTTTGTCATGGTCATGTGACCTACCTGTGTCAATTGAGTCGCCTCACTTCGATTCATGAATTCTCTCGCGGGCATTATGGGATAGCGCAGTGTGCATGGAATGCGCACTCCAGAATCTTGCCGGAAGTAGTAAGTCATCCGGGTACTTCTCGCATACTGATTTTTGAATTCTATGAATTCAGATATGCTACTCGACTCACATATTGATTTTAGCGTACTATATAGTATGGAATTATGCGGTTTTGGACACAGCCAAAGTTCCTTTAAGGCAGGGGTGTCCAAACTCGATGTCCTGCTGAAATTAGCTCCAACTCACTTCAACACACCTGCCAGGAAGTTTCTAGTATATCTAGTAAGAGCTTGATTAGCTGGTTCAGGTGTGTTTGATTAGGGAGCTAAACTCTCAGGATGGAGTTTGGACACCCCTGCTTTAAGGCTAGTCATTTCACTCGACAGCCATCTTTGAAACACCGCTCAAGCAGAATGCTCTGGGATTCTGTTTGAATGGGGAAACATCAAATTCTCCAAAACTGTTTGCAAAGCTTATTAATACATTACATATTTGGAATTACCAATAAAATTAAACAACTGCCTTATATGTTTTGTTTGTAAACATTCAAATGAAACAAAACTTTTTCAGATTGCCCAAGCTAATGCACATCAGAAATAAATGAGATTACGCCACCAACCTAATTTTTTGGCGTGTTACACATTATTATCTGAATAATGCCTTATCTGATCGTCCTGCTCTCCTGAAGTAATTCACAACTTGTTATTTATGGCAAATCTCCTCCCGAAATGACAGCGACTCTTTGTTTACAAGTTTGTGGGCTTTTATGTAGTTGCTGTCCTGTGATTTGTGTTTGACAGAATGAACTGTACCTCATGTTCATTTCATGCAGATTACAAGACCAAAAAACATTTGTTTTCAAGTGTGGTTGGTTCATTTCTGGTTCAAGTCCAGATTTCAAGATATGCTGATATATTTCTCATGTCTTTGAAGCAAGTATTCGCTGACATTCTAGTGCGTTTGTTGACTACAGAAACTTTCGTAAAATCCTCAGTTTACAGCGATCGATGATTGGCTCCTGTACTTGAAGATGGGGCTTCATTTACTGTATTGACGTTACACTTTTCCCCATTCAAAACTATACGAGTGACACGTCTTGTGTATTCTATAGTCTTTAGATCAATACAGAAAGATGGCAAGCAACTTTACAACAACACATGTGTATAGGCTAAACAGTTGTTTGAAGTTATTTAGTTTTTCTCGTATATTAAGCATTTTTCTTCCATTTTTTTTAACGAATGACTACCAAAAAGGTACATTTAACAAGTGTATTGAGTGTATTTTCAATGTGTTTAATTTGTATATGGTGACAGTGGTGCAGTAGGTAGCACTGTCGCCTCACAGCAAGAAGCTTTGTTCTGGGTCAAGCCCCGGCTGGGTCAGTTGTCATTTCTGTGTGGAGTTTGCATGTTCTCCCTTTGTTGGCATGGGTTTCCTTCGGGTTCTCCAGTTTGCCCCTCAATCCACAGACATGTTCTATAGGTGAATTAAAAAAGCTAAATTTGCCATAGTGTTTGTGTGGATGTGAAGGCATGGGTGTGTATGGGTGTTTCCCAGTGCCGAGTTGTGGCTGGAAGGGCATCTGCTGCGTAAAACATATGCTGAATAAGTTAGTGGTTCATCCCTGATTAATATAGGGACTAAGCTGAAAAGAAAATTAATGAATGAATAATTTGTATATTAAAGGTAGATTGGAATGTGCTAGATAAGTTGGTGGTTCATTCCGCGTTGGCAACACCTGATTAATAAAGGGACTAAGCCATAAAAAGAAAATGAATGAATGAAAGGTAAATCCTCAAGACAAATTCTTAAATAATATATGCTTGATGTTTCAGTGCCTGAATTGTTTCTTTTTGTAAATTATACAATCTTTAAAAAGCTTTGCTGTGTTTTGCTGGTACATCTTTGAGCATCTGATTATCATTTAACAGTTAACTTGTGCTATTATTTACAGTGTAATTAATAATATTCACACTCAAAACAAGTGCTGAAAATAGCTGTGCTGCGTCTGTTGTGGAAAGCCTGATACAGATTTTTTATGAATTCTGTAAAAAGTTGAAAAGGAGAACAAGACATTAAAAAAACATTTGCAACAATTTAAAAGTCTTTAATGTCCCTTTTTATCAATTCAGTGCTTTTTTTTCATTTTACTTTCCCAGAACTTTTAAATAACTTTCAGTCTGTTTTATCTGTTGAGCTTAAAAGCCAGTGACAGATACTATAATTCATTAAAGAACTTGTATCATAAGAAATCAAACCATTCTTATCTTCTAAGATAAGAGACTTCGATGTGCTCTCAAAACTCAAGTCCAAAAAGATTTAGAGAAACTAAGCTGCAATAACTTTTTGTTCTTGCTCTTTTCACGTGTGAAGAGGCCATTTCGCAAGGCTATAGCTGTAATAAAATGCCCGCTTAATTCTGCTAATGCCTCTCAGGAGCTAATAAAAAACAAAACTTCAACTGTATTGTTTTCAGTGTCACCTTTTTAGCATTGTTATAATGATGAGAGGCAAATGTTTGCTGACTCTTGTTTTTTTACTCTCCAGTAATAGCAACGTATCATTGAATAGCATATTTATGGTGATTTGTTGTTTTTTTATGTTCCAGAGACAGGCAGAGAAAATAAAAGTGGCAGTGTGTGTGCCTGTGTGTGCAGATTTGGGTTCTTTGTTTTCATCCTTTTATCACAAACAGGCCACGTGCAGCGTCCCAGCAGAAGAACCAATTTACAGCCTCCTCACATTAATAAATGAGAAGTGCTGTTGAAATCTAAATCAAAGAATTAAACGTGTTGCTCTGAAAATGCTAACGAAAGCGGGAAAACACGCGCTCAACCAAAGATGATGAGAATGGAATCCAACCGCTTATTGTATCTCAAGTGCCTCTGAGTGAAATATTAATCAGCTTAGCATCCCTTACAAAACATGATTTTATGATAGCGCTTCTTAAGGAAAAGATAGAAATAAAATGTTATTCAGTGAAAGAGCCTTCTTAATGGTGTTTCCAAAGCAGAACATTTTAATCTCGAATGGATTTCCTGCATTGTGGTAATCTATTCATTTAAATGACCACAAAATTAAAAGATGGATTTATAGTTGCTTACACAGTGCGTGTCCTAACAACATGTGACATGACAAGATTCCAGCATCAAGCAATTTAGATGTCCACTCCAGGCTCAACACAAAAGAAACACTTAAATACCACAAGCATTCAGAAGCGCAGCATAGTGCACTGCAATCCCAACCAAATGGACCATTTTATAATCTGATTATTACATAATTAACATATAAAACCTATTACATATTTGTCACGATCAACGCTGGAGATTTATTTTGGTATGCCTGCATAACCACAACTCCCAGAACTCTTTGCACCCCATTAACTCCTGCAACAGCTGACAATAATCCAGAAACTTACAAACAGACACAGCTGTAGCTCGTTGTCACTCATTACATACATACAACTAACTTTCTCATTCACATTGCTTAGTCCTGCTATCCTGTAGCATCATGATGGGGTTTCCTTGTTTTGTTCTCTGTGCCGTGTTTCAAGACCGTCGCTTTGTTTATTGATTTTTGCTATAAGCCGATTGGACCTGGATCTTTTCGCCTGTGACTCCACTACTCTTTTAAATTGCTTTGTATGATACTCTTGGCTCCTGTGATTGACCATTTCTTGTCTGACCATTCTTTGTTTAATAATGGCACTGCATTTGGATCCCCAACTTCGTTGCCGGTATCGAAAATTACAATATTAACATTATTTAAAAGTATATGCTTGGTCATAGGTTTGCACTTGCATTTGGAGTTCACAGTCCTTAAATTTATGTTTAAACTGTATTTACTGTTCTCTAGTTTTTTCTTTTCAAGGTTTTCTTGGGTAAAATCTGCTGCTGCTTTCAGTTGGGCAGTAAATGTCATGTAAAATGGTACTGAAACTCACATTGGAAGCATTTAACACTGAATAAAGCACATAATCAGTACCTGAGGTGGTTATTGTCATAGTAGTTTATGCTGTTGTTCAGCTGTGATCACAGAAATACAAATGGTTTCTAAAAATAGAAACTGTCATTGATAGTTAGGACAAAAGCTTCTTTTAACATGGAAAAGATAGCTTTTATCATGTCGCAGTATGGTGTTTCAAGTATGGATACGGTGTTAAGCTTAGTCAATAATTGCTCTGTGTAGCACTTTTGTAATAAACATGACCTTTTTTATCAACACAAAATCTTTCTTTAATGTCATTCATAAATCATTTTTACATGCGTATTTAATGCTCATGAAATATCCCTCATTTTCAATTAATGGTGTAACGGATCACAAATCTCATGGTTCGCATCACACTACTGTTTTTGAGTCACACAGATTGGACCATTTTCAAATCAGCAAATATTCATTATGAAAAATAATCTTTGCGACTGTTGCTGATAATGATAAATAATGAAATGTAACATCTTGTACAACCTATCATATTTATTTTCAATTAATTATTTAACCATTCACACATTAAACTCCATGTTTCATTATAGGTGTATAGTTTTTGAAACCCATTCATTGACATAATTTTGACGATTGTTTGTCGCCATCTATTGGTTAAACATTGTAATTGCTACAACATACACCAGCAACAAGTTCCATTAAATGGTGATTTTAAGCTTACCATAAACATCAGTGTTTATATCTGAATAATAAACTGTTATCCCATTATTTTGCTATTTAATTGTTTGTAACTTACTAAAAAAAGTGAAATAACTGAATCTCTCTCGATCAAATGCAGATTTGAATGCAATGCTTTGAAAGATTAATAAACATTTGCAAATAATTAACATTTATTATTCATGTTGCTCGGGTTTAAATTGAGATCACAATCTTTTCATGTTTAATTGTGCAGCTTTGCACTGAATGCATTAATGCAGGCTTAAACTAGTACAGTAACAGAAAACACCTTTAATTAATAACCTAAGAAACCATTTAGGTCCCACCACAACTTTTTCTGTAATCTTTATATTTTTCAGGGAAATGCTTTCATTCACTTGAATTGAATAACGCAGGAGGCGATCTCTTTGTAATTGTTATACTGACAAGTTCAAAAAAAGTTGTTAATTCATGGGTCAAGTGTGTTCCGAACCGTGGGTTGTGATCCGTTACACCCCTAGTTTCAATGTTGTTTTTTGTGGAAACTAATACATTTTTCAGGATCCATTAATAAATATGAACCATGCATTTGAGATTTTTTAAATAACTTTTACTGTCATTAATTTAATGAGAATTAGGAAATTAAGAAAAATCGTACTGCCTCCAGACTTTTGAATGCTGTAAATATTTTAGTTAATAATATATGTCATACTTAGAACCCATAAATTAAGTGATAAATGACTGTTTCTGTATTTAATATCTAGTTTATTTAGCATCCAATATATACCCATGACCAACCGCATTTAACTAATTCTGAACTGCATTAAACTGAAAAGAAACACTCAATTTCTTTTTAATATCTACTGTATATGATAAACAAATGACATTGAACTACCTCCAGGGTTTGGCTCTGCAGTCTAGCATTCAATGCATATTAATAGTTCAGCTCTCGTTCTAGTATTGTAGTACTGTAGAACTATTCCAAAGGCTAATTTATCAGAATTAAACTGTGCTTTTCTCTGCAGTTCCAGACACATGCAACATGGGGAATTTGCCCAACGGAGGCTGTGAGTATCTGTGCCTCAGAGCTCCTCAAATCACAGAACACTCACCCAAATACACCTGTGCCTGCCCCGACAGCATGGAACTGGGCCCGGACATGCGCCGCTGTGTGTCAGGTAACAAAAGAGAGAGCCCTGGCTCAGGTTTACTCATACTGCACACTTTCAACATACAAACATCTATTAATTCATTGTTGTGAGTAAAATTTGGGAGTTGTTGTCATTTGGAACGTAGACTGTGAGGGAACTACAATGTGTCTCAACTGTAGATAAGTGAAGCAACAGTTATTAAAGTTTAATGCTGACATCTTGCGCTAATGATGTCAGTAATGATTGTGCATCTACAAGGCTGTGAAAAGAACAAAAGACCCCTAAAGACAAGCATAACAGGTAAATGTTGCTACATTACCTTACTATATAAGGGCTTTTGGACTAGAGGAACTAGTTCCTAGATTTAGAGGCAGTTGTACCCACTTTTCTGACATATTCACACCACTGGAAATGGTAATGATTTTAGTTGACTTGGCTAAGTTCCTGTAATTAACTATGCTGTGTGAAAGCCCTTATTGTGTCTTGTAGCTCTTTAAAATGCTGTGTTAATGGTTAAAAAAAGGTTTTTAAGGGGGGGGGAAAAGTCATATAGGTGGTGTAAATTACGAGTACTTTTCAGTGTTTTACTTATCCACATTACATTGTACTGTAAGTTCACAGTTGTATTTCTTATACAAGGAATTTTAATGTAAAACTACACCCGTTTATGTTCAACTGTTACAAGTTGGAAAAGACATGCTCATCATGTAGATAAGAGACTCCCCATTACAGTCCTGTGATAGTCTGAAGTCATGCAAGGTTGTACACAATAAAATCACCAGTCATTAGATCAAACGTGAATTTAATGAAATATTAACATACTGTAATAATCATGACATGAAAATGGGACTCTTAAATAAGTCAGATCCCTAATATGTTTGAGTATAAGTCAAGACACAACATCAAAAGTAAAATAAAATCTATGACAAGACCAAGATCATTAAAACATGGTTTCAGGAGTCTGTGCTCTATTTTGTCCTTAAAAGCATTAAGGGCGTGTTCGTAACTACTTTTACTATTTTAATGACTGAAAAAATCTGCTTGGTCAATGGTCTTACAGCGTTGAGCTTATTCTCTTAATGAGATATAGGTGTGTTTTGAGAATAAACCAATCAGCCTTAACACACCTCCTTTTTTTAGATCAGAACACCAATGGGTGCATATATGAATGCAAATGCATTTGCTATTTAAACAGTGTGGTGCAAAACGTCAAATTGACTCTTGCTCCAAGCTGAAACTTGGGAAAAAGTCTTGAGTTATACAACACTGTAACAAACCACTAAATGATGCTGCTTACCAATCAGAATCAAGTATCTAAAAATTTATTGGAGAAACTTTATTTAAAATATGCATTTAAATACACATAATTAGCTTTTCCTTTTAAGTTTTTTATACTTTTTAAATATTTTCCAAGTCATGTTTAACAGAACAATATTTTTTTAGAGAGCCCTATTATAATCATTTAGTATGATAGGGAAAAAAACTTATTTACTTTCTTTTTTTAACTGCTTAGGTCAATATTATTAGCCCCTAGAGCAAACATCTTGACTAATTAACCTACCTTGTTCAGTTGACCTAATAAACCTAGTTAAGCCATTAAGCCAAAGACAAAAGGAAATAGTTATAAGAAATTAGTTATTAAAACAATTATGTTAACAATGTGTTGGGGAAAAAAATATCTCCATTAAACAGCACTTGGAAAACACATGAAAAATAATTACAATTTATCATCATCTGCAACTGCAATTAATTGTTTTGTTTTATTTACAAGAAGAGGGGAGGGATTATGGCCCATACAGGGGCGAAAATATTAAGGATTTATTTTTCAGGACATGTTTGGCATATTCTATTTTGACAGACTAAAGCATTTATAGAAAGTTTAAACTTCAGTTGTTTCTAGTTAGCAATATAAATGACTTCTGTTTCTTATGTTTGTAGTGAAACCCAAAACAACAGCTGCTCCAGATCCAGCTGCATCCACAGCTTCAGCAGCAGAACCCTCCACTACTGCGACTCCTACAACCTCCACCCCAGTTACATCAGCCAATACACCTACAACCACCAGTAGACTCTTTACAACTACAGCACCAATTACAACCAGCAGCAGCAGCTTCAGCACATCCACCCACTCCAGCACGCATCGCTCCACCAGCACACACTCCACATCCACTTCAAGCACAGCGAGCTCTCAGCCCAGCACCACTGCACACTGGAAACAGCCCACCTCCACCGAGACGACCACAGATCACAGGCACACATCTACAACCATTACACATGTCAACAGCATACAAGGAGCCAATGCCAACCTCTCTCATCGCGGTGAGTCAATGACATCATTGTCTACGTCTATTGTTTTGTTCTGTTATACTGTATTACCTCTTCTGTGATGAGTCTCTTTTGTCTTATTAAAATAAAATATTAATGGTATTAATATTAATGATATTATAAGGCAAATTATATTATTCCTGCAAATCATGATTGTGTCTAGGGGCTCTATTTTAACGACCTAGGCAAAAAGTCTAAAGGGCATGATGCAAAAGGGCATTAAGGGCATGTCTGAATCCACTTTTGCTATTTTAAGGATGGAAAAATACCCTGGTGCATGGTCTAACAAGGTTGTGCTTATTCTCTTAATGAATTATGGGTGTTTTGAGCCATAGCTTGCATTAAACTAATCAGAGTGTCATCTCTTATCCCCTTTAAGAGTCGCAACATGTCATGGTGCATTTGGTATTTACATGACATCTTTGTAAGTGGAAAAACTGGACCCGTCACTACGCACCTCCTTCGGCCTCTTTTCTTTCTCTTTATTTTAATTTTACTCTTTATTTCTTTAATTTCGTGGATAATAAACAGTGTTGTACGCACTCCACTGAAGACATCCACTAGCCTACATATTTAATTTTGTTTGTTAAGCGTAAAGATTTGTTTCAAAACAATTTCTAAAGTCAGTTCTAAATACCAGTAAAGAAATAAATGAACAATAATAACAAAGTGTGGTCAAAAAACACACATCTTATTCTTATGCCCCATATGGTGATGCAGACGTCTCCAAAACATTACTGGTGGACAAATCTAAGCTTGTTTTTATCAAAGTAAATATAAATGTAATAAACAACTGGTAATAATCATAACATTACACAAATGCAAAGTGTCATAAACTGAATAAACTGAAAAAAGGCACGGAGGCAGTGGTCAATGGCGCAGTCTATTTTAGTTCCTTAAAATAGCAACATGGCAGCAATGCTTCTTAACACACTTCCTTTATATGACCAGAACACCCATGAGTCCAAAAACAGTGCAAGTGGATTTGCTATTTAAACAACGTGGTGCAAAACGTGAAAATTACTGATGCGCTGGTCTGAAAATAGCAACAAATCGTGCCAAACACATCTTGCACCTTATTACGCCAGGTGTATGATAGGGTCCTAGGTCAGTATGTATCAAAAATATCAGATGATGAATTCCTTCCTTATTATAATTAATATGGTACATTTAATAGCATTGAAAAGGTCATTATTTCAAGCTTGTTGAATAAATTTGGTGATTAAGATTAATGATTTAGGTTAAGATGATTAATAGGTAAGTTGACTGTACAGCGTTTACACGCAAATGTGTTTGAGGGTTAAGGAAGAAATATTACCGGTAGTTGATGATGACTGATTGCATTCCTTTTAAACTTAAAATTAGTTAACTATAAACTATCAGTCATAACTATTTATATTTACTACAAATAGTGGACTTTTGTTTATCATAAACCAACCAATCTCTTTAAGGAGAGGGGAAAAAGTTGGAGAATTGATAGAAATTACTTTTTTTATCAAATAAATTATATTTTAAATCAATATTGTGGAACTTTCATAAAATAATGTATCCCAATTCCCTAGTATTTTTAATACTGTACAATTTATATAAATGATTTTGACTTCAAATAAATGTTTTGTTTCATAGTGATTTTAATTGCAATATATAACCTGCGAGTCTCGTTAGGTAAGGAGAAAGAAGCATTTATAGAAGGGACATATTTAAACATTTAATGGCATTTTCAAGACCCATATTGTGAAACATTTATAAAAGAATGCTTCACAGTTTCCCAAAAATAGATGACTGCTAAAAAAAAATCTACTTATTTTAAAGCTGTAATTAAATACAGTATGTTGTAAAAATTGTTTAAAAAATTATTTTAGATTAAATAAATGCAATCCAAATGAATGTAAGATACTTTTTTTTAAAAAACATAAAATATATAGTGTACTGACCACAAACTTTAAATAATTAATGTCATTGACCTGAATAGGATTGTGTGCAAAATATCAGCATTGCTTAAATTCAGCTGAAGCCTTTAAAGCATGAATGCTCTTATACAGTACCCATACAGTAGTCCTCAGAGTCTATGAAAATTAATGTGTGGTGGAATTTGCTTGCCGAGCATCACCGGGCCACTTGCGAGTGATAGATGAGGCTTTAGCAGTGGCCCGGGGTCCCGGTGTGTGTCTGTGCTGAATTCCAGTGAAAGCGAGAAGCGTCCAGCCCTGACTGATGAACACTGCCCTCAGCCGTCTTCCTCTCCGCACTCACACTCCAATGCCACCTGGAAAACAGCAGGAAAACAGCCATTACTGACTTTAATAATGAGATCTACATCCATGAAAACCATTTTAAAGGTTATTGTCTGTCAAGGCAAAAGAAAAAATTAAAACTGGTAAAACAACCAGGGCTGTTGTTGCCTTTTCACCTTTCAGTGCATTATCAGAGCACAGAAGTGGTCATTCTTGAACCATAAATTTGGATTCTTGAATATTTTATGACTAACAGCATATTAGACGGCTGAAATGGCAAAACTCTCTATTAAATAAAACCTGTAAATTGCTGCACTGAGGATAGTGATGAAATATGCCAGCACTTCTGGCTTTTCTGGCTGCTTGCTAACGAAGACAAAGACCTGCCTGGAGTTTTGGGATACGTTTACATGACAACGATGTTCAGAGTTAGAGTTGTTTTTTAAAGATTTGTGTATAGACAACACAGCGGTTATAACAATCCATAAATCTGTGAGAAATAACAAAAGGACAAAAGACATTTTATGCATGCTAGGCCAGTAGATGGCAATGAAATGCATGCCTGTGACATCACAGTTTTCTACCATGAGCTCATGTTTAAATTACATTTATAATCTGCCATATTACTTATCACAATTTCTCTCAATCATAATCATTTATGCACATATATTTTTTTAAAATACTTTTATGCAGCAAGACTGTTTTAAAATACAGTGCATTAAATAATCAAAAGTGAGTCATTTGCATTCTTAGGGCCCTGTCATACACCCGGCACAATAAGGCGCAAGACTTGTGTGGTGCGATTTGTTACTATTTTCAGACCACCATAACCCTAACCCCCACCTTAACCCCCACATTGTTTAAATAGCAAATTCATTTGCGCCACTTTGTGGACTCATGGGCATTCTGGTCTAAAATAGAGGTGTTAAGGTGCATTGTTGGCGAGTTGCTATTTTGAAGAACTGAAGACTGCGCCATTGACCAACTAAAGTCAAGCGCAGAGCGTGTTAGTTATGTTCCAATGTGGGTTCAAACGCTCACACATTGCTTAATACACACAGGTCACAGGATGTACAGCAATATACAAATATCTTTACGTATGAAAAAATAAAGGATTAAATTATTACAAAAAGTAGTATTTCCTACATAAATAAAAAAACACTACTTCCGTGCCTCATCTCAGGGGGCTTTTTCAGTTTATTCATCACAATTTGCATTTGTATAGGCTAATATTATTATCAGTATTATTTATTATAAACAAATTTAAATATTTTTTAATAAAAACAAGCTTAGATTTGTCCATCAGTTTTGGAGACGTATGCATCACCATATGGGGCATAAGAATAAGACATGTGTTTGAACATCACTCAGTTTTTTGACCACACTTCATTGTTATTGTTCATTTATCCGTTTGCTGGAAATTGAAACTGAATTTAGAAATAGTTTCAAACATTTCTTTGCACTTAATAAACAAAATTAAATATATAGGCTCATGGATGTCTTTAGAGGAGTGTGTACAACATCATTTTCTTGTTCATGAAAGTAAAGGAGTAACGAGTAAGTAGAGAAGGGGTAAGTAAACACATTTTTTAAACTGTTGACAGTCATATATGTGTCCCACACTGCTCAAAACACTATTAGGACACGTATATTTCACTAAAAAGTGAAAATTGGTTGTTTTTGCGTTACTTCGAGCAGATTCGTTCTTCCGGTTTGAAACCATTTTTTTTAAGCTGTGTCACGCCGATTAGATCCTTGTGTGTATTCCAGCTTGTAGACTGGCTGTCTGTACCTGGGAGTACTTTGTGACACTGAGTGTGCTGCATTCATTCATGAGAAAGACTTGGTTCAAACCAATCAGCGCACTCTATTGTTTATGCGGTGCAACTTCATTAATATGCATGATAGCTTTGAAGACTGTTTGTACCTGTACAGTGTTCAAACGCAGAGAGACGTCACACAAGAGTTGTTTAGAGATACAGGTCGTCAATGTTGCTTTTATAATTTGCTGCAGTAAAGGTTTTGTTTGAGAGCGCATCTGGACTCACGAGTGGATTACAGTGCACATCTGGAAAGGATAAAATCTGGATTTGCTGCTCATCTCCTTTTAATAAAGACACGCTTCCAGTTAGTGTTGATTGTCCTGTCTCTACAGATTTGATAAGTAAGCGATCAGTGTCTTTGTTTGTTTATTCATATGGCAAAGTTAGTTTGAATCGTCAGCAGTACTCTTTCAGTATTTAAAGACGGACCTACGTTAATACCACTACAATATTATAGACTTAAAGATCCGCTGTAAATGCTGCTCTCCGAGTGTAAACATGTAAACACTGTTATCAAACTATTACCATCGTGTAGGATTTTCGCTGCATTTTGTGACATGAATAACACACACGGCTTTCTGAAGCTACCTGCCGAGTGCATCCAAATTATAGAAAAATGCGGAGTTTTTTTTCTCTCATTCACCGTTGCGATATCAAACATTGCATTAAAAATACACGCTTCCAGCAATTCCTCGAATCAAATATCTCGTTTGTCACGAGGGGCATGAATGAAATTCCTGAATGAAAGTGCCAAACTGCAGTTAAAGACCACCCTTTAATAATTTGGCAAATAATTCGATTAATGGTGTCCATATAAACACAGTCACTGTCTTTCTGCCCTGCGTCTGTGTGTGTGTTTTGCCTCTTTGAAAATCAGCGTGTGCCTAAATCGAAACTGACATTTTTATGCAAATTTTTATGCACCATCCCATTTTCCCACCTCCGACACTCCCCTCTAAAACTAGAAGCTAGACACTTCCAAACTAGAGGTGTAAAAACACCCTGCTGAATAAGCACAAGCCTGTTAACCATCCGCCGAGTGTGTTTTTATAAATGCAATCTTGATAAGCATAAGAGACTTTTTTTCAAACACATCAAAACATCTGACTGTCCTCATTTTTTTATTTAGCTAATCTGTCAAACACCAATTTAAGTGTCAAGCACACCATCCACATGTAGTATTCTGAACAAATTTTATGAATTATACAAAATGCTCACTGATAAATGTTGTAGATTTAGGTTAACAGTATTCATTGCTCAGAGTTTGTCAGCATCACCTGTTACAGGTGGGTGAATTGCTTGCACTAAAAGCATTTCCACATTAATGAGCCTGTCTGTGAGTCTAGATACACAGATATGTCTTCTCACAGACATATGGCTCTGTGAGGAATGATTTAGTGGAGTCGATAAATTGTTTTGCATGAAGAGAATTTCAATGCAGTTTTAATGAAAACAAAATGCACATAAATGGGAACTATACTCTATATACAAACACAATTATGCAAATAAAGCGTTTCCATAGAAACCCATGTCACTAGTATCATCTAAATAACATGTTCACTGTAGCTTTAAGAGGATTCTCTTACCAGCAATATGTTTTCTCCATTAGCTTTCCTTTTGTATGCAATGGTTACTGTGTACACTGCATTTCCTTTGTTTCGTAGTGGTTTTACAAGCCCTTTTTTTATTTTACCCCTCAGGCTGTGTGCCTGAATCTGTATGCCAGTGCTGTACTATCTAGTCCTCTTAATCTCTCAGCTCAGACTCCATTATCAGACACTAATTATGCTGTAGCTAATGGAGGGCCACATGCTAATTGTGAGATTGAGGTGGGATTTATTTGGTGGAAACAACTGCTCAGCAGAAACCTTAAGATGAGAAGCAGCAGCGCAAGGCAAAGTGGTGAATGAACAGCAATGAATGAATAGCCTTGGGCAAGATAGCCAAGTAAATGGGCAGTTTGCTATACAAACTGGAGACGATTCAGCTTGATAAAAATAGCAGAGCTAGCAAAATACTGTACCTGTTACACACCCTTAAGTTCATGCTTTTTAATACAGGGTTAAAGTTTGCAGGAATAGTGCATTTAGGCAAATAGATGTGGTCAAGACAATGGTTTACACTAGTTTAAAGGTGTCATAGAATGACACTCACATCTCATTGATACAAAATGTTAAATTGTTTATAGCTATGTAAACAGGTAGCACCGTGGCTCAGTGGTTAGCACTGTCGCCTAACATCAGAACGGTCGCTGGTTTGAGTCCCGGCTGGACCAGCTGGCATTTTTGTGTGAAGTTTGCAGAGAGTTTGTGTGAAATGCTTAATTCTTCATTACCTGTGACTCGTTCTGACTACATATGCTTGGTTGTATACTATAGCAATAAAGTGTTTTTAAAGTCTTTTAAAACACTGTTTTAATACATTGAGCCACTAAACATTGTTCTGATGACTTTTTTTACAGGAGGAAAACGTGAATTACTTCAAAATACTTCAAATATATTTTGTTAATGCAAGGCTATTTATGAAATTCAGGCATAACACTGTATGACAACATTTTACATGACTGTTATAGCCTACAGCTAATCAATCTGTCAGATTCTGGAGTGCATTCAAGTTCTAAACATAATTATGAATGATAAATGATCTTAAATCAAACAAATACATTTGTAGATATGTTATATAAGTACATAATTTCACTCACCTGGCAAATGGAGGCTATTTGAATGGCTTGTAAGCACAGTTAAGTGCACACAGGATGCCATATTATATGATAATTGTAAGAAATATTTCCAAATGACAATTGTCTGTGTAAAGCCACATAAAACAAAACAAAAATACGATGTATCTGGGAGTTCTGCAGCTAATCAGATGGAATCAGCTGAGGTGGTGCAATGGCGACCTGCAAGATCTAGCTGTCACTCAAGTGGCCACGCCCTTAATCATTCTTAATATAACTTAATATAAACTAAACTAATTAGTAGGGCCAGATGGAATCTGCAGAAATGTGTTTGCTATTTCTGCAGATAATTGTGTTAAAATCTGTGGATTTATGCAGAATTATTTTGGGAGTATCATAACTAAAACCTTAATATATTAAATAAAAAGTAATACCTTTTTAACTGTTATTTAATGTTTAAAATGCAAATCCAATTAGATCCACTTTATTTGGTAAACAAAGCAAGTCTCTCATATAATATATCTACCTAATACAGAAAATATTACTTTACAAACTATATTGTAAAAAAATAATATGAATATTTTCATATTTGTCAATAATATTACTGAAATTAATTTAAAAACTGAATAAATATACATTTACACACATTAGTATAAGTAAATAAACAGAATCAATGTTGGGCTAAAAATCTGCGGAAATCTGCATGGTATAAAGAAAATTTTGACGGTTTTAAAACCTTGACTTTACCAAACTTCGGTATACCTTGAACATGGTTATTGTCCCATGCCTACCACCAACACTGCATGTTTTGGATGTCTGCTTTATCTGTCACACCTACTGTTTAACAGGTCTTTCAGTCTCTGCTAATGAGCTAATGATCTGAGTCAAGTGTTTTTTGTCAAGGGGAGATGGGAAATGTGCAGAGCTGGTGGTCCTCTAGGAATGTGGTTGAGAAACACTTCTCTAAAGGAATACAATTATCATGGACAATGCAATGATGTTTGCTATGACAAGATCTGTTATGTGTGATTGCATGTAAAGTAAAAACTGATTTTTCTCTTTTTTTCCCCACTTCTTTTTTCTTAATCTCTCTCTATTACAGCTGGAAGTGGAAATGACCACTTCCTCCTTGGTAGCAATATAACAGTTGCAGTTCTGGGTATAGTCATTCCAATAGGTGAGTAATAAAGTTAACTAAGCATTTTATCCTGCATTTTGAATTCAGCCTTGTTCACCCAGTAGATGAACAGCTTTTGCCCTTCAGCTTTATGTGCACTACCTGCTTTGGAGACACTTATGGTGGTCTTAACTAGCCATTTATAAACTTGCTGCTGCTCCATTTAGCTTTATATTCCATGTTTAATACAACATAAGCCCCATCGACAGCATGCTAATTACTCTGCAACGTAATTTTAACTTAATTTTGAGTTTGATGCAATAAAGGAAAGTGGGTACAGTGAAGCACTTAAAGTGGAATTTTTTTGCAAGCTGTTTTGCACCTGTGTAATACCTCTTTTCTTCACTTTGAAGTTTGAAAGCACATGATGCATAAAACTAAATTATTAATAAATCTTTATTCTACGAGATGTCTTCAGTATTTCGCAGATTAGTCAATAACGTTTATATACAGTTTTATCTTATTTTTCATTCATCATAAAAAAGTAAAAGTAAAGATTCATTCAAAGTAAAAATTGCCTGGAAACACCACTGTATGACAGGTGAATTAATATTGATGTAGCAGGGAAAGTGAAAACACTGGTTTAGAATGTTTTTTTTACATGTTTACTTTTTTAATACAAGAAAAATATTGTTGTTTCCTAATAAATATGTAAATTATTTTAGTGATTTATTTTTTTATGTAGCACATTGTTCACCTTGCCTAAAAGGAATACACCTAGATTTATATCTAGACATATATCTTAGACCCCCTGAATTATTAGCCCCCCTGTTTATTTCACCAGTTTCTGTTTAACGGAGAGTAGATTTTTTCAACACATTTCTAAACAAAATAGTTTTAATAGCTCATCTCTAATAACTGATATATTTTATCTTTGCCATAATGACAGTAAATAAAATTTACTTGATATTTTTCAAGACATATTTTTAAAGTTACATTTAAAAGCTTAATTAGGTTACTAGGCAGGATAGGGTAATTAGGCAAGTTATTGTATATTGATGGTATATTAAAATATATAGCTTAAAGGGTTAATAATATTTATCTTAAAATGTTTTTTTAAATATTAAAAACTGCTTTCATAATATTACTATAGAATGTGTTATACTCTATTGTACATGTATTTAGTGTATCATACTGTGTATGTATTTTAGTATTTACAATTATTCGTTAATTCATGCTACAGGTACAGTAAACATACAATGCTACAGTAAACTATGGCGTGTTGGAGTATAATATTCCCTAAAGTTGTAAAACCTAGAGTATTGGGTAATTTGTTTATTTTCTGTAGTTGTTTAATTACAACTATAGAATTACCACATGTGGTTTTTAAGCATTAGGTATGTTATATGTTTATATGAATGATGTGAGTGTGTGTATGTGTGTAGATATTATACATACAGTGCTGAGCGTAACTGAGTACACCCCAATTCAAAAATGAATACGTTTATCCATTTCTCAGTGATTATAGGCAATGTATTTTGGTGCATTTAAACAAAACAGGTTTATTAAACAGATATATATTTATTAAAATAATATTTTAGTCACCAAACATATTCAGAAATAAAAAAATAATACAATTAAATGAAATAAATAAATTAAATTTGCTAAATATTGCAAAAAAAAAATTTAAACCTAAAAAATTTCAACAATTTTTTTTCAAATTTGTTTGCTTCTCTTGATTTTTCCTCTTTTTAAAATTTGTATTTAATATTTTTCTATAACATATAAATTTGGGTGTACTAATTTTTGGACCGTTATCCTAGGTTATTTTGTAAGATATGCTTCAGATTTGGCTTCAGTACTGACTAATCTAATGTATATGCACAAATATAATATTGTATAGCTTCCTATTAAAAATATGAATTTAGAAAATAGATTTGTGAGGGGTGTACTTATATATGCTGAGCACTGTGATTATAATATACCTGCCTATATGTAGCACCATGGACCTGTGATGTTAGACAATAATTCTCTTGAATATTTTCACATATTATAGCGAAATGAAATGAATGCTCACTTGAGCTTGAAAATGCTGCTTCAGTACCGTATTTTAAACTCTCCTGACAGAGAGTTTTACTGTTTACTTTTATAAGAACTTGACTGTGCATATTTTTCCATCCACAAATTCTGTCGATAGAGCTTGCATTGAATTAAATCTGAAGAGTTTTATTTCAGAAACGTCTCTGACAGCATCCCACAACATGTCTTTCAAGCATATTGTGCTATTTATGAAATGAGCAGTTTATAAATGGCTATTTCTGATCCCCCAAAGAGAAGTGTCGCTCATACATTTTGATTTTGTGATCATTCTCCCAGTTAGTTTCTACACATCATCCTTTTGACTGTTTGATTTAACTATACCTATATAAAGTACTGCGTATGTAAATATACATATATCTCTGTAGAATGTCTCTGTCAAAAGGACCTGATGGGCTTCATTGGTTTGTCTGGAGAGTGGCTTAGTGGGATTGTAACAACCTTGTCTAAGCTCATATTCAAATGAAAGACACTAAGTGAAATACCTTTCCTCTAAAAAGCATGTTAAAAGCTCTGTGTGTAATTACAGCCATCCCTCTCATCTTAAAAATTGTAAAAATGCCTTCTTTTATTGTGGCTTGGTAAAAAAAAACCCAATGTGATTCATCGACTGAATGCAATCCAAGTGTTTATAGGGAGACAATAGAGGCTGAGTGATGGAGGAAAACACATGATGAGGAGGTCTCTGTGGCCCCCCCCAGACAAAAGAGCAATTAAAGGAGAACTTCCAGGGGATTGGAGGAGCCACGGATGATCTTTTAAATTAGGGAATGAGTTTGCAAGCCACTGCAGTGAAGACACACATGGTTATCAATTCGGCCTGAATAGTAATGTGCTCCCTCCATTCATTTATATGAAGGAATGTTTGCACATAAACACAATCCAATTCCATTTCGGCTGTTCCCTGTAGACCTCTGCTTTCTCTCTGAGCAGCATGTGAGCAGCCCCTTCACATATCCCACTAAGCCACTGTGCGTGTGTATGTTTGTGTGTGTGTGTGAGAGAGAGAGAGAGAAAGAGAGAGAGAGAGAGAGAAAACAGAGAGAGAGAGAGAGAGTGAGTGAAAAAGGTGTCTTTGGCAGCCCAAGTTCAAATATACGTATCTGCTATTTTGGGCTGCTTAAACGTGCTTTTGAAGTTGTTCCTCTGGTTTGATCAGAGTCTTCATAAATTGTTTACGCTATCAGTCAAATAATTTTCAGTTTATTTGATGAAAAATAATACAGTAAAATGTTAACATTGTGAAATAATTAAATTACCATAAAGTATCTGAATTATGTTACAATAAATTAGGAAATTTAATTTATATCTGTAATGACAGATTTTTTGTTTATTCAAGATTTTGTCAAACCATAATAAAGCATAATGATAATTTAATAATCTCTAATTGAGACGATAATCTCTAATACTTTAATACATCACTGAATAAAATTGTTTTGGGTCAGTTTTTTTTCCTTTTTTTAAGATAATTACTCTGTTAATTGAGGCAGCACTTATTAAATGTAAAAAAATGTTTATTATTTATCACAATTTTTAAACTGCTTTCTTTTTATATGTGGTTTCAAATGAAATTATTACTTCAGTCAATATTGCTTTTATTGTTACCATTAATAATAATAATAATAATAGTAATAATAATAATTAATATTAGTGTGATTTCTGAAGTATTATGTGACTGAAGACTGGAGTAATGAAGCTAAAAAAATCATCGTTAAAATCACTGGAATAAATGATTAAATTAAAAGATAAACTACTTTTGAACAGTTATTATATAGTGCAATAAAATTTCACAATTTTATAATTCCTGATTAAATAATTGCAGCCATGGTGAGGAGAAGCTTATTTAAAAACATTTAAAACTCCTTCTGACCTCAAACTTTTGACCAGTAGTGTAAATGACCTTCTTTTTTTTAATACTGTAGGTCTTTTGTAAAAGTAGTGCAAGTTGCATATTTCAGTCTGTAAATTATCATCAAAAAATAATTTCCTTGACATTTCAAAAAACGAAGCTAAACTGATTCAATTACTGTTAATTAATTAATTTATGGAAGTTTTTCAGCAACTACAAACCAGCATTTTCCCCATTCGGATTATATTTATACTGTTTACAGTCATGTCTCAGATTTGAACTTTCTTCCTTAATTGAATTTAGTCTAACTTAGATGTTTATGTTTTTCATTTTTATAGCACTAAAAAATGCTGGGTTATTTCAATCCAGTTCTGGGTGTAACCCATTTGCTGTTTTTTTTTTTTTTTTTTAGTTAAATTTAAATTCATAGGACCACATTTAACCCAATGTTTGGGTTTGTGCATATTTTAACCAAATTGGGTTTAAGTAACCCAGCATTTCTTAGAGTGTGTAAACTAAAGAGATTTTAAATTATATTTAAATGTGTTAATAATTCTGACTACAGTTGCACAAACTGCAAACCCAATAGTATGTTAAAAATATTCTGACTCTGACTTTTACAGATGAAGGAATAGTTCACTCAAAAATTAGAATTCTCCCATAATTTACTCACCATCCCATGTGCATATTAATGTCTATTTTCAAATGACACATTACAAGTTACATTAAATGATATACTGGCACTTCCCGGCTTTGTCAATGCAGTTGCAATGTTAAAGCTTTGTAAATGCAGTAAATGGTTAAAAAGTGTGTCCACCAATTGGGTTATTCTGAAGTAAAATGGGTTTTTGTATGACAAATACCCACATTTAAATTTCTCCTTTGCTTTCCCATACATACATTCATGAGAGAACTTAGTAACAGTACAGAACGTGTAACGAAAACTTGTTATTTCTAAGCTTTGGCTAGACATCATTCATTGGCGAAAACTCTATTCACTGCTATTGCAAAACTGGAGAGATACATGTTATTATTATATAATAAAATTCTTGATTGTGAGTTAAATATATGAGAACATTTTCATTTTTGCTTGAACTATTCAATTATTAACACGTTTGACCCTGGTCTGCCATGATGCACACCCATAGATATATCCAAATTATAATTTGACATACAAGCTCAGATTTGGATTTCAAAAATATAAGATATGTCATTTATGCAACATTAATCTTCGAGAAAATTGTAAAAATGGCAGCTTACTTTTTTCAAGCATTGGAATTACAATTATGTACATATATGTATAAAAATATTAGCTATAAATTCATATATGTGTTATATATGGCCAAATATTATTTATTTGAACCTAAATGTACATATTTGTAATTCCAGTGGTTGAAAATAAATACAAAATTATTTTTGCAATATTTCAACACATAAAGATATGTTGTATACGACATATATTTTATATATGGGATATCCAAATATGAACTTGTATGTCATAAATGTCATTTGCATATATTTACATTTATATTTATCAGATTTCCATGTGGGACCCCCTTTGGTTAGAGTGTGTGAGCTTGTATGTGTTAGTGCGTCATTATGCGCCGCTCTGTGTCCCCTGGCTGTGTTAACGCCCCCGCCATATGTGTTGACTGTGTGTTAAATGCATGCAGTTCCTATCCTTGCCACAGTGGTCATCGGCCTGATGTGTACCGGAGGTTACCTGGTGTGGCGCAACTGGAGGAGACGAAACACCAAGAGCATGAACTTCGACAACCCAGTTTACCGCAAGACTACAGAGGACGACGATGACGAAATCCACATCGGCCGCAGCGAGCAGATCGGACACGTCTACCCTCCAGTGAGTGGCAGTGCCAGACAGCCATACCTAGCACTGCCACTGGGGGGCAGCATCCCAGACCCGGCAGCTCACTGGTACTCTGGGGCACCTATGCTGACCAGCGCAAAATGAACAAGGGGGATCAAGGCATTTGGATAGTAATTAAAAACATGGGCGGGGTTTACGACAGAGGGCATTATGCTGCCTCTTTCCTCATGCATATTTATATTCATAATTCACCACATCTTCATTTAAGTGTATGTTTAATTGATTAGTGTACGGATTACCATGTGAGGTTAAATTAGTCGTCTGTGTTTACCATTGGCTGCATTCAAAATCGCACACTCGTACTCATACTTGCTCATCTTCAGCTGATTCGAATGTTATAACTCGATTGAATGGCCGTTAGCAGTGGTTATCAGCTGATAGACAATGGCCAATAGGGGGCTCCTGCGCCTACTGGTAGGTTCAGAAGGCTGTTATCATCCATCAACGTGGTTAATCAACTAGGTTGTTTTCAGTCATGTGGTTCTGGTGATGCACAAAATTCAGTTGGAGGGCAGGAAGTAAAAAACTGAATGGGAGAAAGTCCGTATTTTTGCAATTTATATCATATTTTAATTGAGATATAAATATAAATTAAAAATAATAAAGACGGTCGAGTTTTCTACTGAGCTAAACTGTATTTGCCTGTCATCGAGGCAGTAGATACTGTATAAGCTATTATGTTACATAAAAAAATAAAAACTATAGTGTTTGGAAGCATACTATAGATGATTAAAATTAAACTATAGATTAATTCAAATAAACTGTCGTAGTAATTATATTGTTGCTGTGGTACAACAAAACCGTAGTAATAAACAAATTACTGTAGTCAACAAGCTTCAGTTCTATACGCTATGATTATACACCATCACAATGCACCTCAGTTTACGCTAATGTTACAATATTTATTACAATTTATCAGTTTACATTTTTTCACAGCAGCAAAGGATCAAAAGAAAATCGGCACACTGCCACTTTAGCTCTCAAAAGTTTTTTAATATCACCCCGTTTCGACCTACATGGTCTTCATCAGGTCAAACAATACAAATTGGAGTTCTCAAGAAATAGTGATACAGCTCTACACATCACACCTGCAATCAATCACCCCAATCAGCCAACAAGCCAGTAAGCCAATACAGGCAAATACAAATACAGCAATATACACGTGACAATATGAGATACATAAATACCATTACAAAAAAGATTTAAAATACAAATTTTTACTTCCTCGGAGACAGAGTATTCAGTGTATAAATATTAAGGGTGTCACAATCCTCCAAATCCTCGATTCGATTACATTTTCGATTCTAAAGGCACGATTCGATTCAATTTTCGATTATGAATAATTAATTAATGACCAATTAATTATTTGTAGCCTACCGTTTAAACTACCTGACCTGCATGGTCTTTGTTTTACCCATAAACAAATCATACAGTAAATGAATAAAGGAAAGATACACACATAATTGCCACCTGTCAATCACTTTTTCTGCGGGACTCGTGAATAGGCAGTGATCTGTGTCGTTATAATGGCATCGGTAAAAAAGACGCACAACCAACAGGAACCAGCCAACAGTATCTGAGGTGTTCGCTAAAATGACTAAGTACAAGTGAGTGAAAGATTGAAGCAGTCCTCTGACTGCCTGGACCTGCTGTCTCGAGCGTATGGCTGTGTCTGTGTGGTCACGTGATGTGCATTTTCAGAGGTAGAAAGGAAGGAGGGCTGCTCAGAAATGCTACACACCACTGTGGATGTCAAATCGTTGTCGTTCTAAAATGCCATTTAAAAACAAAGACAGTGTAAACAGGGCCTGAGTGTGTACTTTTCACGAGCGGATTTGCAACGGGGGTGGGCGGAAGATCACGATGCCGGTGTTGTCTATCGGACGAACCGTACGTAATACGTACATAGCAGAGCTTGCAAAACTGTGTTTTTTTTTTGTCGACAACACGAACGTTGTCAACATAACTCACTGGAAATCCAAAATGCTTACACACCGGCGACTTCATTGAAAGAGGAGAGGGTTTAAGTTCTGTCGACGGGTCTCCTGCGTCTGCAGTTTAACAAGCACTTTAACAAGCCTATTTTTTTCTCGCTTGGCAAGCCAAGCTGACGTGACATGGGGGCGTGGCAGCATCGACGATTCTATTTTTTGATTCGATAATTGAAATTGAGCATAAATTTTGATCGGTTTCGATTAAAAATCGAAATCTTGACACCCCTAATAAATATAGCGCATCACACCTTGTCTGTTTTGTATTATATTTTCCCCCATGTGAATATCTTCCAGGCATCACGAAATAATAGATGAAAGCATCCAAAAGCTTGGACGCAAATTATTATAACGTATTTATTTTTGTAAGAGGGAAAAGTGCTCCACAATAATAACCGATATCACGATAAGAATTGGATCTTGTTGCAAGGGTTGCATTTTTGTTTAGTCGATGAATTTTACCATGAATAAACATTCACCGATGCCGCACATATAGACATTAACTTATGGTTGTTTATTCCGCCGAAACGCTTGTTAAGACATGAATTATTGCAAAATAAGCGATTACATGGCAGGGTACGTTATTTATATTCTCTTAGATTTTGTGTGTGGTGGTGTTTGCATCTGATTTTCATTAATACACATAGCTAGGCCTGTATATAATCTTTATTGGTGTCATTTGAATTATCGCGTTCAAAAAAAGTTTGTACACATGGATGTATTGAATTGCTTAATTTAACCGATTTAAACAATTAGAAACAACATAAAGCAGAAATATTTTGATGTTCTGATAGCAATTCCTTTGTAGAACAATCACTTCCTACCCTCCATCTGAGTCTCGCGTGTCATATACGTCATGTGAAAACAAGCTATAGATCACACTCGGCTGCGGCCGGAAGTTAACGAGAATTATTTATATTATTTATTACATTTCCCATTAATTGTATCTTGTTAACGTCTACCCTTACCCCAACCCTAAACCCAACTGTCACAGTAATGTAAAAACAAAATCTAGATCTGGAGTCTTCTCTATTAGTATGGCAGATTTACCACGAGAATTATTTATATTATTTATTAAATTTCCCATTAATTGTATTTTATTAACATCTACCCCTACCCCAACCCTAAACCCAACCGTCACAGTAATGTAAAAACAGATCTGGATCTGGAGTCTTCTCTATTAGTATAGCAGATTAACCATGTGGATGGATGATAACAGCCTTCTGAGCCTACCAGAAGGTGCAAAAGGCCCCTACTGACCCATGTCTATCAGCTGATAACCACTGATAACACCCATTCGATGGAATGATAGCATTCGAAGCGGGTACCATCTTCTTGTCAACCATTTAAAAATACTTTTAGTACTTTTAGGATGAATTCAGTCCATGTATTTTTAATTGACTGTGTTATTTCAGTGTTATTTGCGTCGTTAAATATCCATTCACAAATCTTTTCCTGTGGCCTCATGGGATAGTAAATCATCCATCATCACTTAGTATGTCATACAGGAACTTGATACTCAAATTTGGACAAGCTCTCTTTTCACATACTATTTTATAATAGGGAAGTGTGCGATTGCTGATGCATTGTCGTGTTGTGTGTATGAGTGTAAAGCTTTAAAAGCTTTCCACGTTTGAAAGCTTTGAAATTGTGCTCTCTTATTATCCCACAGTTGATATTTATTAATTCAGTTTTGCTAAAAACTCAGTACAGAGTACTCGTTACTGATTACTCATTACTGAGTGCTTGTAATTAAGTACTAAATTGATTTAGGGATGAGCATCAAGCACCTTAAATGACTGGACAATCTTTTAATATATTATAGTTTATTTATTTATTTCGGTGTTCTACTGTTTGTTTAATTTATTTGAGTGATGTAAGGATTTAATTATATGTTAGTGTAAGTGCCGGCCTGGGAATGCCGGAAGCATGAAGTAGTTATCCCAGTGCTTACGAGAGCGGTTAGTGGAGGGATTATAAGAGCGTGGTTGGAACTTCCTGTGCTGCAGTCAGCATGTAAAGCACAAGCAGAGATAAAGACATCAGTCGTGCGGTACGCCCCAGTGGCGTAACAGGATTCTCTCCAATACCCCACACGTCACACTCTTCACAGTGTGTGTGTGTGTGTTGGGGGATCTGAATAGCTGATCTTTTCGTATACGTCTCCTTCTCCATGGGCCTTTTTATTTATTCCTATGCATTTTGTGTTTCTCCCTCTTTCTTTCAACACATGTAACTGTTTTTTATCTGCTCTCCGCAGCGCGTGGCGCTCAGTCCGGACGATGATGGATTCCCCTGAGGGCGACTCTCGCTCTCTCTCCTTCTCCATCCCCGAATCCATGCGTCCTTTAGTCCTCCATCTCTCCTTCCATCGAGGAGATTGCACCACACAGCAAGGTGCAGAGCCAAAAGGACACAAGAGCACACGCTCTCCACAGCCGAGAGCTACAAACTGGGTTTGTCTTCTTGTAGTGTTTTTTCAGCCCTCAGTCGGGCAATAATCACTAGTACTACTAGCATCATTCCTGCTCTGTGTCAGTAGAAGTAGACTATGCTGTTTAATGATGACTAACCCCATAGCTCATCATGTCAGTAGTCTCTAACACTCAGTGGCTCTCCTGCTGCACTCGTGCTGTAGTAGTTTTATTTCATTACAATTAGTTTTACTTCTGATTCGAGCTGACCTGTGGCCATTTTGTGTGGGCAGAATTGTGGGCTCTCCACCCAGTGCACAAATAAGTGAATATTTGAAATAGGATTGAGGTGGGATGAGGATTACTTATATTTGCAGACATTTAAAACACAAATTCTGTGGCTATTATGCATCTTGTTAACAAATGATATCACTAAGTAAGAAAGTCTTAATCCACAATTTCCTGTCCTCCTAATACCTCAGATGCCAAGACTCCAGTTCCTTCATGTCTTCCATAGTCTCACATTATTTGGCCCTTCTGAAAGGTCTGCAGCCACTATCTGGGGATGAATAGTTTCACCTCCCAGCTTTGATGGGCAATATATATTTCCATATTTATTTATTTCACCAGCACTGGGTCTTCCATTTTCTGAAGTTTCAAGGACCAACTAAAAAAAAATCTTCCTGCTGAGGCACATTTATATCCCCAAGTTTAGCTCAGGACATAGTTTTTTTTTTTTTTACTAAAATATGATCAGTTATCGCTACAATCTGTGTGGTTTGTTATCAACCACACTAATAGATACGGTTGTCAGGGTTTGATAATGGCTAAAATGCTGTTTGTTCATATCTACTGTCTAGATCGCTTTCTCTCAGACACGCAAACACACACGCACACACACACATACAAATACAAAATGTCTGTCCCTACAGTGCATTCGACATGCCACTGGTAAAACTCTTTAGCATTTAGCATGCTGACAACAAGACACCGTCTGCCATATCGGGTGGCTTAATGGTGTGATGGATTAGAGTCATAGATCAAAGCTTTGCTCTTCTGAACAGTCATCTGTTCAACACTTGGCACAGGAAATGAGGAGTGCCTGAATATAGGCTTCCTGTACATATCAGCTATCCAACTCTCTACACGTGATGAATAAGTGCTTGGCTATTTCTGTCTCCCTGTCAGTGGGACACTTAATGACCAAAAAATATGAAAAATGTACAAAAAAAAGGTAGATCAAAACACACATTTACCCACTAATGAAAAAAGCCTGCTGCATTATAGCCCTGCTGCAATATATATATATATATATATATATATATATATATATATATATATATATATATATATATATATATATATATATATATATATATATACATACATATATATATATATATATATATATATATATATAGGCTAGACTGCTTTGATGGTTCAAAGAAGAAGTTTGATGGATTTAGCTGTGATTATTGACCTTTTCCACTTCAAAGCCCCCCTTAGTCCAAGAGAATATGTGAAGGTCTTTTAAGTAATTTTAAGGCTTGTTGGGCCATTGCCCTGCTTGAGAACCACTGACTTTGTGTGTTCACACTTGTAGTTGATTGGTTTAGACAAAAACTGCCCTGGCACAGAGAGCCAAACCTAAAGTAATAACAATAATAATAAAGCAGGCTTTTGATTTTTTGCAACAGACCTTTTAGGACATCCTGAACAATGATGTGTGATTTATGGTCACTCACACAAACAAAGATTAGACACCAATTTCCAATGGCGGTATTTAATTAATGGCCACCATGGTGACTTAAGTATGTTTGAGCGTTTTGTAGGGTGATATTTTTTGACATCATGTCTTTTTTGGCTCATTTTGTTGTTGGGTTTCATATTAGAGTGAAGTTGCTAGAGTTTGTTGGTGCAGCAGTCTTGGTCAGATTTTTTTGGTGCACACTAAAGTTCAGATGGCAGCAAAACATTTTTAACTAGAAAAGCAATCGCATCAGTTTTAACAGAACCTATCATGCCAAGTGTGAACACATCTTAGGATGTACTCACACTAGGCTGTTAGAGCCATGCCCAAGCATGTTTGATGCCCAAACGCTAGTTCAGTTGAGCACTCTGTAGTTTGGTTGGCTGGCCTTGGACCTGTTAGAAGAGGTGCCAGTGCGCACTTTACTTGGGCTCAGGAGCAGTATGCATGTAGAGTGATGTGAAACTGAAGACATCAATTTTAAGGGACCATAAGGGACAATACCATATGGATTCATAGGTCACACTTTACAATAAGGTTCATTAGTTAATGTTTATTAATGCATTTACTAACATGAACAAACAATGAACAATACATCTACTACTGTATTTGTTCACATTAGTTAACGTTAGTTAATGAAAATACAGTAGATCATTGTTAGTTCATGTTTACTCATGGTACATTAACTAATGTTAACAAGCATGGACTTGGATGTTAATAATGCATTAGTAAATGTTCAATTATGATTAATAAATGCTGTACATGTGTTGTTCATGATTATTTCATGTTAGTAAATGCATTAACTAATGAACCTTATTGTAAAGTGTTACCGATTTATAAAACATTTTTAATGTCAATGAACATTAACTGTCATAGTATATCAAAGTGGCAATCTCCTCTCTGCACTTCAGCTCTCAAATCTCCTAATATGTGCAGCACAATGATACAATTATTGAAACTTTCTGAGCTCCAAAAGCCATGGATCAGTTCAGCAATATATTCAGCTGTGTGTCACTGCATCCCAAACCAATCGAAATAATACTACACAATATAACTAAAGCAATGTACCCCATTGCACAGACTGAGAGTGCTTCTCTTCCTGTTTTACTCTAAACAATTGCATCGTTTTGATGCGAGCGTGCTCAGGCTCAGAAAGGAAAGTACAATGTGAGTGCAGGCCAGTGGGGATGTGGGTACAATCACTCAGTTCAAGCTAACTGTTCCTAGTGTGAGTACATCCTTAGAGAAATAACCAAGGTCATCTAAACCAGCTAAACTCCCTAGGCTGGATTAAGATTTTGTTTGGAGTGCGTGGCGATGTATGTCTGGTAGATCAGGTGGTTTTTAAGAACTACTTGCCCTTTGCTGAAGATTACAGAGAGGGACCACTTGGTTTTCTTAGAAGGAAATGATTGGTTCTTGGCCGCATGTGGGTGGTCTTTTATTTGGAGTTGTTCTTTGTTCCGGCCACCTTTGCTCCCCTCTGCTCTGATGAAGCATCTTGTGCGTGGCACTTGTAAAACCTCCCTCCACATTTTCAAAGAATCCTCCATTAAGTCACTGTTTGTTTTCCATTAGGAAGAGAGACGGTGTGGGAGTTCCGCTGCTCAGGCTTTTGTCTGTGAAGATTAAAGAAGCTGCTGTTTGCAGTTCATTTCTGATTATGGTGGACTAGTTTGAGATGTCTTTATTGAAAGAGATTACAGGCCTGTTGTCATCAATATTATAGTTCATCATTTGACTGTTTTCATCCTTAATCATGTCTCGTGTAGGTGTGTGTGTGTGTACAGTATGGAAAGGATCAACTGATTTTTTGAGAATTTTTTTTTACATGTATATCAGTTCTAAAGATTTGAGAATCTCAGATTAGCAATACAGGGTAAACAAACTGCTGCATGTGCTTACTCAGACTATCACAACATAAACTGGTCTGATCATTATCAATATGGCCTCATCAGAGGCACCTAAAGAAAAATAAATCAGCCTAATCTAGTTTGTTGATTTTATTGGGTCTTTTTAGCTCAATGGTTTTGGGCCATTATCAACTGGTTTAGACTTAAAGGCAATATTGCTGACCAGCTGAATACAAGCAGCTGTCACAAAAATGGTTAAAAGAAAGGGTTTTAGAACAGTTTGGACACTTTCTAGTTGGTCAGACTGGGGGACAAGCATAAAAACAAACCTGACCAGGCTACAAGACCATTTACAACCAGTAATAACAATAATCTAATCTGGTTTTGGAAGAATTTAGGCCACCTGTCAGTTGGATTTACCAGATATTAGGACTGAAAGACCAGCTAAAACCAGCTAATGAATTTAGGCTGTTTTGAATTTTAGAAGGGGCATCACACACGTTTCTTTTTCCTGAGCCCGACCTCATCATTGTTATCAGGTGCTGCTTTAGAGTTAGCTCAGAAGATGTTTTTATAGGAAGACTTTGTTACATTGAGCTCTCTAGCTGTCAAGGTTTGTAAAAACTAAACCCTCGTGTTATAATTTACAAGACTCACGTCTCACATAATAACTCATGCACAGCGTGGTCACAGAAGGTTCTAGAAGACGCTTTTAGAATTCTCTGTCTCTCTGTAGATAACGTCGTGACCGTTGTCCATCATTCTTACTCTATGCATATGTAACGGCGAGTTCTGCCTTCGTATAGCACTGCAGGGACTCGCCACGCTGCTCCTTCACCCCACTCCACTGTGACTAACATCTGTCCATACAAACATGTCCATAACTCCATAACACTTAACCATCTACCTGTCATCCCCATAAGCCCAACAAGTAGGACATTGATTTTGAAAGGGCTACCATACTTTTACAATAGACGATACGCTGGAACCTCTTCTGGAACCGTGCTCTGTAATTTGGTGGACTCTTAATGGACGAATCGGGTTCTCCACACCCATGGTAACATTCCCGTCTGTCTTTTTGGTGACCAGTGGAAAACGATGACCTCTATTTTGGTTCCCCCTTTTGAGATCATGTTGACATGATGTAAATTACTTGAAGAACTGTTCATATTTTGTCTGATTTGTAAGTGTTGATTCTGGGGAGAGGGGAGAAGGAGGGTCTGTCATTCCTGTAATTTGAGGAAACGCGTGTCCCGGTCATTCCGTAGTTGTTTGGAGACATTTTGTACGCTGTTTGTTGCACAAACTTTTTTCAAGAAGCCTTCTGCACTGTGTAAATGATTACATAGGATGGGGGGGAAGAGCGACCGTTGCAGTCCAATGAGTCTGAATCATGATTTGTAAATATGTTTTCATACAGCGAAACTTTTGATAAGGTTTTAAACATTTCTTGTAAAAAGAAGATGTGTATATTAGTCTCCCAGACGAAAAAGAGTGTAGACCATACATGGATTTATTTGTACTCAAGAGCACTGGATTTCTTTACTACTTGATTGTAACTAAAAATTAATAATCTGCCAAAGTATTTTGATTTGATTTGTTTGCTATTAATTTTTATTTTGGCTTTTTAACCGTAAATGTCGCAGAAATAGTGTTTAATTTGTATTTGTACATTTATTTAATAGATCGATTAAATTGTAATTCTATTTAAGAGGCTTGGCTCCGTGTTGAAAGAGAGGGTTACAGTTTAATTTATTGGTGCCTTGTTTGTGTTTATGTATTTTTTCCTATAATGTTACGTTTTGTTTTCTTTTCTCGTGTCTGTGTCAGTGGGTCAGAGGTGGTGGGGATAGGGATTGGGTTTTAACGTTAGCAAAACTGTACTTACATGGAATATCTGTACTGTATGCCAAAATGGTCTCACTCACGTTTCTATGAAATTCAAGTTGTTGATAAATATCTATATATTGATATATTAAATTGTTCAAAATCTTTGTCTTCTTGTCATTTTTCAGCGTCCAAATCAGTTTAATGAAAAGTCTGTTTGTTTGTGGTTTTGCTGAAATGCTCCCTGCATAAATTGTCTCGTTCCTGTATGCCAGCACATGATTCTTGTCAATATGCCGACACTGCGGTTATGCCTGGCTCCCCAGAGGAGACGGTGGGCTCGGTGCCTGGTAATGGAACGAGGAACTTCCCCCTAGCAGGTGTCACACTGTGATTTTGCTAATGTCTGTGGTGAGTATTAGCCTCCAGGGGGACTTTAATAAAATGGGGAAACTGCCTGAACTCCCAGTGGCCGTTCCTGACCGCAGGCACACTTGATGGATGTGATTTCTACAAAGTTACCGTGGTGTAAATGTGTAGTTCACTGAAAAATGCACATTCTGTAATCATTTACTCACCCTTGTGTGGTTTCAAAACCTTTCTGAGAAACGTCATATGTAGGAAAGTCTGTGTGTGCTCAGGGGCGCAACTACACATATACTGAGAGGTATGCGGGTTCAAGTTTTGTAACTAAAATAAAATAGTTTTGAACAAAAAAAGGCCAAAAGGCCTGATGTATCAATATGACACATAACAAATTTATAAAAACATGTATATTGTA